GGGCCAAAGTCCTCAGGGGGAGCAGGCAGCTTTGGCAGAGGCGCCTGCCCCTCCGCTGAGCTGGGGGGGCCGGAAGGCTGGGGAGGGGCTGGGGGCCAGGATTCCATCCGGTCCACAGCCACCTCCTTGACGAGTGACCTTGCTCGAGTCATGTCTCCTCCGGGCCTTTGCTGTCGCCTCTCGGCTCCTCCCTGCGCGGCTCCCCTCCCTCCCTGGGTCTGTGGTTGCGAGTTTTAAAACAGCTTCAGCCAGTCGCCAGGGGTCCTAGAAATATTCCAGCGCCTCCCAAAGGTCCCAGGTGCCGCCTGCAGCCAGTGCCAACTTGAACTGCACCGTGGTGGCCCCGGCGTGTGCTCCCGAACCTGACGAGTGGTGGCTCTCTAAGCTTTTTGGACTGGAACCCATAATAATAAATGTATTTTGCACACACGTGACCCTGGACACACACAGAGGAAGCTCCTACCGTATTCAACCCTGCCCCAGCCCCGCGGCAGCCGCCCCTGCCCCGTGATGCAGGCGTCCAGCTGGGGGTGGGTGAGATGCTGGCCTCCCCCGTGCAGGACCCCCAGGTCTGCATGTCCGGGAGCCCCTCGCTTCCTTAGGCGGCTGGAGTCAGAAGGGTGGTTGTGGCTGGGGGAGCCTTCAGGCCGCCGGAAGAGGGCATCAGCTCCTCCCACCCTGACGATGGCTTTCTTCAAATCTCGGGCCCTCGTGCCTCTTCATTATCAGTGTGGGGTCCTAGCAGACAATTCCTGAAGAACAAGAACCATCTCCCTCAACTGCCCATTTGACAGATGAGGAAGACAGAGGCTTGGAGGGGCACTGTCACTTGCTGAAGGTCCCACGGGCAGGAAAGGGCAGAGCTGGGATTCGAACTGGCCAGGAGGAGGCTAGAGCCGGTGGAGGGGCAGCACCAGAGCCGACACATCTGTCTCCGGAGCAGAGCCTGAAACCAGGGTCTGGGCACACCTGATGCGTGAAGGGGTGGGCAGGGCAGAGGACCTGGAGCCAGCAAAGGGTAGTGTCTGTCAACGTGCAGGGGTGACCTCAGGCTGAGCCTGCAGGGGACTCTGGAAGGAAAGTTAAGCTCAGAGTGTTCTGGCCCCAAACAAAGGAGCTAGGGTCCCGTACCTCCAGTCAGGGGCTAAACCACTCGGGTGGGGACCGACACAAATCCTCAGGGAGCTTCAGCGCCAGTTGCCTGAGGGCAGCCCGCCCGGAAAGAGCCACAGGTGCTGCCTGCTGGAAGCAAAGCACAGGGGGAGGAGGACAGAGATCCAAAGGGGTGGGGAGGGTTGGGCGGAGCCCCCACACTCTCCTCACCCCCCACAGCCCTGCCTCTGGGCTTGCCCGCCCCCCCCGCCACCCCCCCCCGCCCACCTGCAGCCCTCAGACCCTTGCTGGCCTCAGCTTCCCCCAGGAAGCCCCGCCTGCTTCCCGGGCGTCAGGGTGGTGGAAGCCAGCACCCAGGGCGGCACAGGCAGGAGGCTGGGCCCAGTGCCCCACAGAGGGGTCCCTTCCCTGCTTTGGCCCAGACAACCCCACCTCTCCAGACTCCGCAGCTTTCTGCAAGCTGTGCCCCCTGCCCAGGGCACCCTTCTCCCAGCCCCCCACCCCCGGCCAGCTCCCCCTCAGCTCTCCTGGGCAGCCCCAAGCCCACCAGACTCACGGAACCTCCTCTGTGCTCAGGCTCACCGGCAGGGCTCGGAGCCTGATTGCCGGGCACTGGTTGCGTGCGGCGGGCTGGTGGCTCCCCCCTCCCTGCCTCCGTTTCCTCTTCATCTGTAAAGCTGAGTGACAGATTCCTTCTCCAGGCCAGAGGGCGGACTCGGGACCATCACACCGGAAAGCAGGGCGTAGAAAGCAGAGCTCCCAGCTGGCGTTCTTCTGGGTCAACCGTGCACTGGAATGAGGGGCTTGGGGGCTGGTGTCCTCCACCAGACTGGGAGCTCCGAGAGGGTGCTGCCTGCACAGTGCAGTGTGCCGGCGATGGACGCGGAGTGGGGGAAGGAATGGGCGGACGCATAGACGAATGAATGAATGAATGAATGAATGAGCGAGCGAGCGAAGACCCCCTCCAGACGTTCACATATCTGGGCTCTCAGGCCTCCGCTCTGAAAAGCCCTCTCCAGTTCCCCACCAACTCACAGGGTGTCTCCTTGTCTCTTCCTGGCTATTATCTCCTGATCCCTGGTCTCATGCATTCGTGAGTTTCCGGTGCGTCGTCTGTCTCTGCCCCGAGGCCGTGAGCTCCGTAGGGGCAGACACCATCCCTGTCTTGCCTGCCCCTGAGTCCCCAGTGCCCCGAACAGTGTCTGGCACGTAGTAGGTGCCCAGCAAATACTCTTGAGTGCCTCCAAGAGTGAGTAAGTGCATTAATCAAATGAATAAGGGTGTTCCCAGTCACCCTGGGGGGTGGAGGAACCCTCAGCGCAGCCCAGGAATTCAGTCCTGCGTCCCAGCTGTTCCGCTGGGTCTGGTCGCCCCCTCAGCAACCGTGGCGAGCCCGCTGTGGGAGAGCCCTGCGGACCCATCGACGACGGGGCTGATCCCTGCCTCCCTCACACAGACACTTTGGCCGGGCAGCCTGTGCCCAGTGCTGCGATGAAGGCAGGGCCCCTCCCACAGGTGCTGGAGAAGCCCCGCTCGGGGCGGGCCGGGCAGGGTTCTAGAGAAAGGGGGAGGCTCTGGGCACGGAGCAGCGAGCAGGGCTGGCTGGTCCTGTTCTCCTGCACTCCCATCACGGTGCGGAGGGCACCCGGACACTTACATCAACAACAAATACCAGCCACTTGGGAGTGAGGGGTGGCTGGCAAGGGCTCCAGGAGGGCCCCATCGGGTCAGCCGGTCAGGGAAGGCCTCTCGGAGGAGGTGAGCTGAGGCCTGGGTGACGAAGTTCGGGGAGATCTGGGGACACAGTGATGCAGGCAGAGGGGACAGCAAGGGCGAAGGGCACGCTTGGCCACTGGAGCAGCAGCAAGGAGGCCAGGGTGGCTGGGACGTGGTGACCCCGTGCTGCAGGGTGGCAAGGGGGCCATGTGGAGCCAGGAGAGGAAGGGGGAGCCTGTTACTCCTGGTGAGAGAGAGGGGTGGGGCTCCCACAAGGGGAGCGGAGGTGGGGATGGGGGAGAGAGCCAGAGGGCTTGCTGGTTGATTAGATGGGTTTTGGGGGGAGGGGATGGGGGAGGCAGGACTCCATGGCAGCTCCTGGAGTTTCAGTTGGTACAGCTGCACCGACGGTTGCATCATTTTCTAAAATTATGGACGTAGACGAAAATGGACACGGTTTGCAACGTCCATGCACCGAGGTTGGGAGCTGGAAGTCCGCTTGGGGCGGGGAGTGTCCATGTGGGCCCAGCTACACAGCCTGGCACCCCGGGGGGACAGAGGAGGTGAGCAGGGCGCAGGGTGGAGCCGGGGGGCAGGCCCCGGAGGGCTGAGGGGGGGGACTCAGGGGAGCAGCCTGCAAGGTGGGTGGGAGCCAAGAGAAGGGCGTGGCTTGAGGGGGCGGGGCACTTAAATAAACAAGAAATACCAGCTACGAAGGACCCGGACAGGGGTGAGGGGTGGCCGGCGAGGGCTCGGGGAGGGCTACATTGGGTCAGGCGGTCAGGGAAGGCCTCTCGGAGGAGGTGAGCTGAGGCCGGAGTGACGAAGTTCGGGGAGATCTGGGGACACAGTGATGCAGGCAGAGGGGACAGCAAGGACGAAGGGCACGCTTGGCCACCAGACGGGCAGCAAGGAGGCCAGGGTGGCTGGAACGTAATGTCCCTGCGCCACTGGGTGATTTTATTCATTTATTTTTAGAGAGAGGGGAAGGGAAGGAGAAAGAGAGAGAGAGAAACATCAATGTGTGGCTGCCTCCCACGCCACCCCCCCGCCACGGGACCTGGTCCGCAACCCAGGCATGCTCCCCGACTGGGAATCGAACCAGTGACCCCTTGGCTTGCAGGCCCGTGCTCCATCCACTGAGCTACCCCAGCCAGGGCTTTTAAGAAAAGTTTTTTTGGGAAAAAAAAGGGAGGCAAGGAAGTAGAGGTCGGACACAACTCTTTCTAAGGAGGATGGACAAGGAGCTGGGGGAAGCAGGAGCAGAAGAAGGTTTTTAAAGGGTGGGAGGGGCTTGGGCTGCCAGGGCGCTGGGGGCTGACCCAGGGATGGGTGTCTCGAGGAGGCAGAGGAGAGGAGCTCGAATGCGGGCAGAGTCCCTGGGAGGAGGAGGCACCACAGCAGGTGCCGCAGGGATGGGCCGGCCAGGTGCAGAGGGGAACACAGACGACACGGGGGAGAGAGTGCAAGGGACCCAGCCCTGGGGGTGGGGAGCAGGGGCAGGTCTTCGTCTGTTACTGGAGAGGGAGCAGATGGTGTGGGCAAAAGGGCAGGCAGGGTTTTGAGGTGAAAACTTTAGGGCGACACACCTTTCGAAGGCTCCCGGAGCTCAGGGAGGAGTGGGGCGAAGCCAGCCGCAGGGGCGGGGAGGTGGGGTGTTGGTGGTGGAGGTCTGGGAAGGAAAGAGAGGGGAGGCAGTCAGCATGGTGGGGAGCAGGCTGAGCAGGGCCGAGGGGCAGCGGGGAGGGCCCCTGGGCAGTGTCCTGTCGCAGGCCGCAGCAGGGGGAGGGTTGGGGCAGAGGGTTGAGAGAGGCCAGGGCGTCCTGGAAGGAGAGCTCGTAGGCGCTGCCAGGGAGCCTTAGCTGGGCCGGAAGAGAGGCGAGGACGGGAGGAGCCAGTGGAAAGTGGGGTGCATGGGTTGGAGGTCTCGTGGGGTCACAAGGATGCCACAGTGAGGGTGCTGGAATCCATGACAACGGAGCTACAACCAGTGGTCCCCACCGAGGGGACCCGGCTGCACTCGGGACCTGCTGCGGCGTTGCGTCTGTTTTCTACCAAAGGACGGTGCGCAGGCACCGAGTAAGGGCCGCCCCTCGGGGCCGGCCCGCGCAAGCGTCGGAGCAGGAGAACACGGCGCTTTCCTCAGCGCCCCCCGTCTGTCCGGTTTCCAGATCTGTTCACCAGTGTCCACAAGGACTGCCCCATGCCCCAGGCCCCAGGCCGCCTGAGCCCAGACCTGCCCTCCAGCCTCCCGCCCACCGTCGTTCCAGACTATGTCACTGGCAAGGTAAAGTAGTCCCGCTCCGCCCCGCCTTCACCCCCCACCCCCGCCTGCGCACTGGCTCCAGGCTCCTCCCCACGGCCCCCCACCTGTGGGAGCAGAAGCCGTCGCCTCCTCCCCTCCCTGCCAAACCCGGCAACCTGGGGCCCTAAGGACTGGTATTCAGGGCGATGCGGGTCTGAGTGGGCGGGCACGCAGGGGTTGGACCAGGCTTGTCAGAGCCCCAATGAACTCAGCCTCGCCAATGATACTTTGTCCCCAGCCCAGGACCCCTGGGCAGCCCGCACTGCCTGCTGGAGAGCAGAGGGAATGGGATTCTTAGAGCTTTCTCGGGACCTCAAATCCTGGTGCCTAATGTCCACCCCTGCCCTAGAGCAGGGGCGTCCAAACTTCTGGCGTCTCTGCACCCCACTGGAAGAAGAAGAGTTGTATTGGGCCACACACTAAATACATTGGGACATGTAATCACAAAAAAAGTTCTCACAATGTTTCAAGTAAATTTAGTTTTGTGTTGGGCCTCATTCATAGCCATCCTGGGCTGCGTGCAGCTCGTGAGCTGAGGGTTAGACACCCCTGCCCTAGAGGGTGTGACCTGAACCTACCAATGGACATGATTACCTTTTTATTTTTTTACTTTATTTTTAAATTTTGAGCACGTACCGCACGCTACGCATTGTGCTGGGCACTTCGCCCGCATCATCTCACTCACGCTTCCCCACGGCCGGGAGGTGAATGGCACCGTCCCATTTCACAGAGGAGGGCACCGATGTCCTGAGATGCTGCGTCACTGGTCTGAGGGTCCCCAGGCAGAAGAGGCAGGGCCAACCCTCAAACCCAGGTCCGGTCGACCCCCTGCACCCACTGCCTCTCCTGGCAGAGCCAGCGTCGCCCCCATCCCCACCCCGCCTCACGCACACCTTTCTCTGCGTGGGGGGGGGGGCACCAGGGCCCCGCCCACCCGTGAATAGGCAGACCCCAACCTCAGGGACCCACCCCTCGGCCCAGGGCTCCAGGGCTCCTGGCCTCTGCTGGCAACAAGCCAGGCTCCGCCCCCTCTCTTTCTCTCTTCGTTTTAGGACAAACAGATGGATTTCTGTTGGGATCCTTGGCAGGTCAGTGCGTTTGCCCGCCCCCCAGTCTAGCCGTTGCCCCTCCTTGCGGGCCCAGCCTGGGCATACAGTCCTGCCAGCCCGTGGTGGGGGGGGGGCAGTCCTGATGGGAAGGGCGGGGTGGGGTGGTCCTGTGGGAGTTGACAGGACCACGCTGGCCCTGCCCACCGTCTGGCGGCCCTGGGGAGGGTGGCTAAAGGGGACAGGTATGGTGGGGGTGCTTCCTCGGGCAGGTCCGCCCACCTGCTCACCCCGCCCCCTCTTGCAGAGGTGCTTCCAGACCACCAACGGCTACCTGTCCGGCTCCAGGTCCTGCTCCAGCAGCTACAACGTGGCGGCCCTGGCCACCTCGTCCCTCGTGGGTAGGCGTCGGCGGCCCTCTCCGGTCCCTGGGATCTGTCCGTCCCACCCCAGGCACCAGCTGTGTGGGGGCGGCAGGGTGGGGGACAGAGCTGAGTCCCAGCCGGAGGGACTGTGGCCCCCTGGGCCCCGAGAGCCGGGTGCCCCAGGGAGCAGGGGGCCAGGGTTCCCGCCCCTACGGGTGAGATCGCGGGGCCTCTGTCTGCCTGGGGCGGTCTCCCCACCTTCCGCAGCGGAGGGACTCTGCCTGGCAGGCCTCCCGGGTCGGTTTCCCGGAAGCAGGGGCCCAGACGGGTTTCCTGGGGGACTTCCTCAAGGGCCGCCTGCGGGGGCGAGGGCAGCTGGACGGGGCGGGGGTGGAGCTTGGCGGAGTCCAGGCGGCCGGAGCCATCTCCCTGCGCCCGAGCTGCGGGCGCTCAGGCCTCGAGTCGCCCTGCAGAGTGTCACGCAGCCGGCCCCGCGGCTGCTCCTCGCGTGCTCGGGGCCCTCACCCGACTGCTCTCCACGTGCTCAGGGGTGGTGCAGAGCATCAAGGACCACATCACGAAGCCCACGGCCATGGCGCGCGGCCGCGTGGCCCACCTCATCGAGTGGAAGGGCTGGAGCGCCCAGCGGTCGGGCTGGGAGCCGTCGCCGGCCGAGCAGGAGCGCTACTGCTGCCTCCCGGACGAGCTGCGCGAGGCCCGCTTCGCCGCAGGTCCGTGGGGGCGGGGCGCGCGGGGCGCGCGCTGGCGGGGACTCCGGGCCTCGGGGGACACAGCGTCACCACCACTGGCGCATCGTCTGGGCGGGGAAACACAACAGCACGGGGCACTCTGGCTCCCCGGGGCCTGGATGCCAGGCCGTCCAAGCTCTGCGGCCCCTCCACCCTCTGCTGTGCCCTCTCTGAGCCGGTCCCCCTCTCCCCCACAGGGGTCGCCGAACAGTTTGCCATCACAGAGGCCACACTGAGCGCCTGGTCCTCGCTGGACGATGAGGAGCTGCACCCCGAGAACGACCCCCAGGACATCGTCCAGCTGCAGGGTAACCCCCAAGCAGGAGCCAGGGCGGGCGGGCGGGTGGAGCAGAGCTGGCGCTGGGTGGCACCCTGTCACCAACAGCACTGTGAGCTCAGACAAGCCCCTCCTTCCCTGAGCCTCAGTTTCTTCATCTGAAAAATGGGGCTGGTGGTCTTTGCCCTGCCCGTTGCCCAAGGAGTGCCATGAGCACGAAGGGGAGACCAGCAGTAATAATAATAATAATAATAATAATAATAATAATAGAGAATGCGAATTCACTGTTCACATTAGCAAATACTGTGCTAGAGCCCAGGGTTACTGCCTACGGCTGCAGTGACCCTGGGTCCGGGGTGAAGCCTGCAGGGACCTGTTACCTCCTTTAATCGCCCCCCCTCACTGTGGGGGGCGGGGAGGCTCGGGAAGAACGCCGATTGTCCCAATGCTCAGAGCGCCAGATCCGATGCAGAGCCTGCTCTTAACTACCCCACCCACGGCCCTCACCGTTCCCGTGATGCCTAGGAAGAGACTGGGGCTCAGAGAGGTTCAGCGACTTGCCTGAGGTCACACAGCCTGCAGTGACAAAGTGGAACTTGGAGGCCGGTCTCCTGCCCCTTGCCCACACTCTCGCGCCAGGGGAGGGCGCGGAGCGGGTCCAGACTCCGTCCCTCACCCCCGCCCCCCACCCTTTGGCTTTCCAGACCTGGACAGCATCTACCTTCAGGACAGTCTTCTGAGCGCCCCCTCGCAGGACGACAGTCTGCTGGCCTTCTCCCCCTGCCTCTCCCCCGACGGGTGGCCCTCACCCGAGGAGCACCCCATCACGGCGGCTGCCCCCCGGCCCCCCAGCCCCGAACAGCAGCACCGGAGGCGGCTGCCTGGAGGCCCGGGGCCCGAGGGCGGGGCCGGCCTGCAGGGCTCACCGCCCTCCGCGGACAGCGGCTCCCTCTCGGAGGAGGACGAGGTGTTCTACAACTGAGGCCGGCTCCCCCGGCACCTGCCCGGTGGACAGCGCGGCTGTGTCAGGACGTCGAGCCAGGCTGGGCCTCTCTGCACCCCTCCGGGCAGGCGCGGGGTGGGGAGGCAGGGATGGGGGGCCAGCACTGCTCCTCGACCGCCCTGTGCCTCCGGACCTGCCCCCAACAGAGGGAGGCACAGCCCCCTTCTCCCTCCTTGGCTCACGTGGGCACCTTCCCCCACAGGCTCTCTGCCATGTGCGAGCTCCAGGGCCTGACAGACACCAGGGCAGCCTGCCCGGCTGAGCCAACGGCCAGGCCCCCAGGCGACAACCTTGCGAGCCCCTGGGAGACCCACTGGGAGGGGGGCCTGGGGACCCTGCCCTGACCCCGGAGCTCTATCCCTCCTCCTCTCCTTCTGTGCTTCTGCCCCCCTCCCCCAATCAGAGGGGGGCAGTCTCTTCCGGTAGCTAAGCATCTGCTCCTAAGCTGTCATCACAAGGACGTCTGTCTCCATGGACTGTCTGTCTGTCCCTCACTCTCTGAACCCTGGTGCCCCTGCTCCTCCTCCTTGCACCCTCCGGCCATCTCCCTGAAAGTTCTCTGAAGGCAGTAAAGTGGCGGATTCACCCCAGATGAGCTTGGCCTGGTCTCTGCTGGGGACACCGTGTCCTCGGGGCTCCTAGAGGGACTTAGGGAGGGCCCCTGCCCTCAACACACATAAGCTGGTCGACATGCTGCCACCCAGCGGGGAGTGTCCTCTCGGGAGGTGCCTGAGTGTCAGGACTCCCCGAGGAGCCACACCTGGGGACCCTGCCTTCTCGGCCCTGGCTGAGCCAAGGGGGAGGCTGGGGCTGGGGTGACAGTAACTGAGCCACAGGGTCCTACTTACACATGAGGATCAGCATCATAAGGCTGGTGGGGGACCCACTCTTTCCCATGTCCTGCTTCCAGGAAGGAGGCAGGAGAAAGAGTGGGAGACCAGGCACCCAGGCTGGCGATGCCCCCGAGACCACTAGCAACCCTAGGAGCTTGCTCAGAGCCAGCCCAGGAGCTGAGACGAGGGACAAATTGCGGCTCTGGGGAATGGCTTTATTCTTCTCAGCAGCCCGTGGTTGGGAGGCAGCCTTGGAGGGGGTCTGTGCCTGCCCTTGGTGACAGCATGCACCAATCTCTTCCCCGGGGAATCTGACAATCACGCATTGGGTGCCCACTGCGCATTGGTTTTTTCTGCTGTCTTGCATGCTGAGCTCTGTCCACGGTGGGGTTTGTCCTTCAAGGCACGTGGTACTTGTGACTTGGTGAATAGGGGGTCCTTCTCAGTGCTGGGTTACAGCTGCCTGCTTCACTGAGGAGTGAGGAGCCGGGCAGGAGGGGTGGGGCGGGGCGTCATGGGGGAGGGGAGGCAGGCCGTCTGTCCAATCTCCTTCACCAGGGCAGCTGAGGTGCCACGTTCACCTTGGCAGGCTGGCTCACTTTGGGGCTGGTGGGTTTGTCACATTAGAAATCGCTTTCTTCAGCTGAAAGAGAAAGAGGGGGTTTTGGAGGAAGGATGCTTAGAAGGTTGAGAACACCGCTCCAGTCCCGCCTGACTCGCCCGAGGGTTGATTCTCGGGTGGGCGTGAGAGCCAGCGCCTCCCCATGGCGCCAGTGGGATCACCGAGGCCCAGAGACTGGCAGCACTGGCCACTGGCCACAAGACAAGGTAGGAGAAGCCAGGCCCAGTGACCACTGGGGGCCGGGAAGTAGAGCCCATCGGAATCCCAGGAGGCCCCTCCAAATTTGGATGTGAGGATACTGGTGCCCCCCATCTCCCCAGCCTGCTCGAATGTGGCTCCTCCACTTTGCTCCGCCCGTGGGACCCTGGTACCTCCACCCAAGACACAGTGCCCACAGCTCTGCCACAGGATGTCACGAAGAGGAACTGAAGGTTCAGCAGCTCGAAGAGGTTGTGTGCCTGCAGGAGGGGTGGTTAGGGAATGCTGGAGGGCAGGTAGCACCCACACCACCCCTCTGGCTGCGGTTTATCCCTAACCTGAAGGCGCTGAGCAGGGGTGAAGGACCGGTACCCACGCCCTCCAGTCCCCCAGCCAGGGAGAGGTAGGTGGGTCACTCGCCATGGCTGGTGCAAGACTGGGACCTGGGCCTGCAATGTCCAGTGTGACCACGAGGGGTCGCCAGAGTCCACACAAGGGACTAGTGGGAAACCGTATTAACCAGCATCACCCAGGGCCACAGAGAGGTTGGGACCACCCCAGATCCCCAACCTGCTTCCACCCATCCCTGACCCCTGCCTGGAGGCTCTGGGCTTGTATCAGGGAGGGGGGGCAGGTATCAGCATTCAAAGGGATTCATAATTTTCCCACGATCACACAGGGAGAATGTGATGGACCTGTGATGCACATGTGCCTTGAGGCAAAGACATCGTTTTCCCACTGTCTCTTCCCCAGGGGCTTCTACTTTGGAAGCCCTCTCACTCCCCTAGTCTGCGCACCGTCCCAGGAACTCTAGGGGCGGGGCTCGGAGACAGCAGGAGCTGCTCTGCCCTCTCTGCTGACAAGGAGGAGGTTCCAGGGGGAGCGGAGGGCCCACCGCACGCAGGAAGCTGGAGCCGAAGCTTCCCTGCTGGGCTCTCGCCCTGTACCGCAGGGTCCTCGCCCGCCCCATGTGCGCATTTTCATCCTTACCTGGTGCAGGGAGGTCTCCGGGGACAGCAGCAGGGTGACGGGCTCCACGGGGCAGCCGGCGGCCAAGATGTCCTGGAGACACTGCTGGGGACAGAGGAAGGGTTATGGGGGCCTGGGCCAGCCCCGCCCTCCCCCAGGCTGCGCCTCTCAAACCTCTACTCCCACACACCCTGTGGACTCCCCATCTCCCCAACACCCCCCACGAGTACCCACTTGGTGTCCTGGAGCCCAGGAAAGTGGCTCAGCCTGGAGAGCCTGCACCAAGGCGGCCCTTCGCATGGTGCCCAGCAGGACCTGAGACTCTGGACAGGAACAGAGGGTGGGAGAGAGCTGCATTACGGAGAGGGAATCTGCGTTTCCTGGGACGTGCCAGTCACTGTGCTGGGCACTCCCATGTCTCTCAGGAACCCACAGCAAAACGCATGTGGGTCAGGAACTATTATCACCCATTTTATAGATGAGGACACTGAGGCTCAGAGGCATGGAGAGGTTAACAGTCAGTCACTCAGCTTCTGACATGGAGGCGTGATGGCCAAAGGCTGCCAGGGGCCAGGCGGGGCCCGCTGACCCTGAGACCCCCCAAGGGGCAGCCCTCAAGGCACGAGCAGGTTTGGGACACTGGGGCCTCAGGGCTGGGCTGTGTCCCTCACTCCCCACGGAAGAAAGAGGCACAGCTGGCGGCTCCGCACAGAGTGGGCACGAGCCTGGGAGCCCACCACGTCCTGAGGTCCTACTGTGTGCCAACGGCTTGGCAAGTCCCACTCCAAAGTTTACAGGCACTCGGTTTGGAGGCGACAGTGTTATTTTTGTCTCTTTTCCAGTAAAATGAAACCTTTACCACTAGACCCAAGTGTGCGTCCCCTTTAAAAACGAACAGATGAAAGCTATTTCTTGAATGAGCGGCTGCTAGGCCCCGCAGCTCAGGCCGGCAGGTTGAAAGCTTTTTGCTTCCCGTGGCTCTTAGAGCAGAGCGGACTTTCTTGTCTTGGAGGGCCCCCCACCATGTCTTTGTTCCAGGAGATGAGGGCTCCTGGAGGGGTCCACCTTCTGCAACTATGTTCTGAGAGGATATTTGGCGCCTTCTGAGGGGGTGCTGTTAAGGGCGTCCCAGTCTGAGTGGGGAGGAGGGCTTGGCATTCGGGATGAGAACCACCATGGACACGTCCGTAGTGGATCCGTCTGATTTTCCCGGTGAGAAAACCGCAGTTCACCGAGTGGCCTGCCCCCGGTTCTGCTGCCCTTAAGCGGCTTTACGACTCTGAGGGTGGCCGTGCAGGCTGCTCACTGCACAGGCACCTGCCCGAACGACAAGCGGGGACCAAGCCCCAGCTGTGCCGTTCTTGCCAGGTGCACACCATGTCTCACTTGGACACCGGGGACGTGAAGGTTGGCAGTGTGCCTTGAGGGGGCGTGGCCCCCCCCCCCCGCCACCATGCCCCAGCGTGTCCTTCCCCTCGTACCATCCTGGCCCCACCGGAGAAGGATGCTCTAGCTAAAGCCTCTCCCGAGATTCAGCTTCTGTGTCTTTTCACAAAGAGCTGCCATTCATTTTTCTTTAAAAAGCTCTTTTTCCCACGGCACCAGGGGTTGGGGGGGACTCCGCTGGGGAACGCCTGGAGGGGAGACTGAGGAAGGAGCCCACCCGGAAGAGCCTGGTCGCACTGCCCCCCCTCCTGCGTCCTCCGCCTCCCCCAGGCGCACCAGGCCTGGTTTCGAGAACTCCGAGATCGATCCATGGAGAGGTTTACAAGCACCTTCTCGTTTCTCTGTCAAACATGTCAGCCACCCCAAAGCAGGGTGACAACTGTCTCCAATTTAACCACGAGAAGGAAACCTGCTTAGGGGGGGTGATGCGATTTCTCCAAAACCACACAGCTGCCGAGCTGGGGGACTCAGACTTAGGTCAGCCTCGCAGGTCCAATGCCTGGCTGGCTCTCTCCCGGGCCTGACCCTAGCGAGAGGCAGGTAGAGGGAATGCTCCTCCCTACTTGTCCATCCCGCCGCCCCCCCCCGCCCCCACTTTCTGCCGAGTACCTGTGCTTTCCACCAGGGGGTACTCAGCCAAGTCTGTGGAGGTCACGACCTTGACCACCTCCTCCAGCGGGGTGTCCTTGGCCAGCGTGGTGATGCCACGGTTCATGAAGTGCTCCACAATGACGCCGTGAGAGCTGGAGGCAGAGGGGCGCTCCGGTCAGGTCCTGGAGTGGGGGCCCGTGGCGGGGACCCCAGGGGCAGTTTCGCTGGTTCTTGAGTGTGGGCAGGGACTGAGAGGTTCTCAGAATAAGCAACTCCTAGAGCCCCGAGGTAGAGAGGAACCTGGGGACCGGCTCACCTACGGCCTGGCTCTGAACCCTCAGCCCCCTGGAGCCCTAGCTTCCCCCCAGAGCAGCTTTGGTCTGTTTGATTTAGAAGTTTTCCCTGGAGTATGTCACTTCAAGAAAAATTGGATGGCAAAAAGAAAAAAAAAAGCTTTAAAGTTTGAAAAACACCCCCATTTTACAGATGGGGAAACTGAGGCCCAGAGCAAGGTGGCAGCCTGCATGGCTTTGGAGGTGGGCCCAGGGCTCGGGGCTCTCAGGGGACAGAGGCTGCTCCGGTCCCGTCTGGCCGAGTGAGGACCTCAAAGCCTATTTCCGTGCTAGTACCACCTCCACAGAGCGGTTGTGGGGTGCGGGCAGGGGGCCCCCCAGATCTGGTGCTGACTCTCTGAGTGACCTGGAGCAAGACATCGAAGCTCTCTGAGCCCCAGTGGCCAACAAATGAGTGATATCTGTCCTGTTTTGAAGACAGACTGATGACCAGTAAGTCCTGCAGGCCCAGGAGGCCAAGGGTTTGCCCAAGGTCGTGCAGGGAGCTGGGGAGGGTGGAGACAAGAGAGCAGATGTGTGTGGGTCCTTCCAAAACCACCCATGTCCAAGGTCGGCTGCAGTGAGCTGTGGGGGCAGCCCCAGCCCCAGCCCACTGGGACACCGTCGCCCTTGTCAGTCAGCCTGAGGCGGGCTCCATGCACCTGATTTTTCGGCACCGGATCCACGGAAGATATGGCAGCTTCTTGACGATGATGGTGCCGTCGTAGAAGGAGGGCTGGAAGCTCTGGGCGATGGCGTTGGCCGCCAGCACCGCCATCAGCACGGGTAACGCGTGCACGATCTGGCCGGTCATCTCGAAGGCCAGCAGCGCCGTGGAGATGGTGTGGGTCACGGCCCCCGAGAAGGCCGCAGCCCCTGCGGGGGGGGGGGGGGCAGAGCAGGGCGGGGTGGCTCAAGCCAGGGGCCAGCTTCTCGAACAGGACGCGGCTGGTGTGGCTTTGGCCATGGCCGGGGTGGGGGTTGTCCAGAGGCCATACTCTGGCCACTGCTAGAGGGCCCCAGTGCCCGGGCGCAGTGAGGGGGAGAGCAGTAAGGGAGGGAGTCAGGGATCAGGGTCAAGACAGGGGCTGGAGCGAGTAATGGGGACTCCAGGGACGGGTGGGGTGCTCACTGGGGGCTTGGTGACCACCCTACACCCTGCAGAACCACTGGTTGGTTCTCCAGGTGCAGCCCACCCAGTGGAGACCCGGCCCACTTACCTGCCAGGGCATAGCCCCCTGGCACGATGGGGTTGGTGACCCCTCCGGCCACGATGCCCTCAGGGAAGGCAAGAGACAGGGCCTCCCCTATGAGGCGCCCAGTAGCGGCTCCTGGCCACAGACTCAGAGTGAGCCGGCGGGCTGGCCCCCGCAGCCCTCCGTCCTCCGGGACCAACCTCAGCACCACCCTGGGGCGTGGGGGGCCGGCAGACCAGGAGCCCTGGCCCTGCCCACTCACCCCGAATCTCTAGGCCCTCAGGACCCCAGACTCACCGAAGATGAATATAGGCATAAAGTAGCCAGCGGGAATGGGGATCGTGGTGGCCAGAATCAGCATCCAGAACTGTGGGGGGGGGGCAGAGGGGCAGAGGCTAGAGGCAACAGGGCAAGGGTGGGCCCGGCAGGGGCTGTCGCAGGGGGAAAAGAGGGCACCGTGCACGTGCCCGGTGTCTGGTGTCCCAGAAGAGGCTGACCAGCAGACGCTGACCAGCAGAAGGAGCCTCACCCTGACAGAGTGCCTGCTCTGTGCCAGGGGCTGTCCTTCCTTCCCTCTCAACCTTGCCCTTGAGGCAGGTGCAGTAACTGCCCCGTGTCACAGGCATGGACACCGAGGCTCAGCGCTGAGGGGAGCAGGCCTGGACCGCAGAGCGGCCGGGGGCCAGGTCAGGTCGGGGAGTCGGGGTGGAAGTCCCAGGCGCTGCGCTACGTGCCGTGGGGAGGCACCCCCACCCCACCCGTGGCCGCTCTCAGCTCTGGGCACACCTCTGGGGGCCCTGGGGTGCCCACCTTCATCACCAGGAAGAAGGCGAGGGTCCCAAAGATGGTGAACCGTGGGTGGTACCATTCGAACCACAGGTTCTGGGGGTCGGGCTCCGCAGGCCAGGGCGGGGACGAGTTCCGGGTCATCAGCGCCCACGAGTTGTTGTCGAACAGCGTGTCCAGGTGCTCCCTCATGGACAGCTGGGGCAGGGGCGGGTCGGCACGCTGCCCCAGGGGCCCGGGCGGTGGTCCCTGCCCTGCCGCCCCTCACCGCCTGGCCTGGCCTCCGACCCTCTCTGCTGCTTCCCATCAGGGTGGGGGGACTTGGGAGCCACTTGGAACCTCAAGGAGGCACAGGCCTCCCCTCTGGGTGTCGTGGAGTTGAGAGGTGATGGGGACAAGGTGGGCCGTGAAGTGGGGCTCCCCACTCCCACTGGCCCAGCTCAGGGCCTCTTACCCGAGAAGCCATGAAGCGGCCCACACCCGGCGGGTAGGTGATGGAGGCGAGGATGAGGGCGGCCAGGGCGGAGTACAGGGGCTTGCTGTGGGGCGGGGAGGGGGCGGGAAGCTCCAGGGCCGGCCTTGCCCTGGGCCCCCACCCCAAGGCCCGGCCTGCTGGCCTGGGGGCTGACACTGAGGGGGGAGCAGGAGGAGGAGGGACAGGAGCAGGGACGTGGGCCAGGCCCTCTCGGGGTCAGGACAGGTGTGGGGCCAGCCCACGGGTCTGCATGGAGCGAGGGCTGGGGCCAGGGCACTGCTGGTCAAGGACAGAGGAGGGCTGGCTTTGACGCGCCGATGCCGGGGGTCAGACAAGGTGTGGGGAGAAGAGGGGGCTCAGTAAGAGTCTTGGGGCTCGGTGGGAAGGGGTTCAGTGAGGGGCTGATGGCTCACAGGGGCGGGGTCTGTGGAGGGGCTGCCGGCCCAGTGAGAAGGAAGCGGTGGCTGTGGGGGCCCAGCTCGGGGGAGGGTGTTATGGGGAAACGGGGTCATGAGTGGGGTGTGGGAAAGCGGTTTGGGGGCTCATTAGGAAGATGGGTGCGTAGTCAGGGGTTGGCCTTCCTACATGAAGGGGTTGTGGGCTCAGGAGGCCGGAAGTCCCCAGGGTGAGGGTCCCCCAACCCCGAGAGGCCCCAGCCCTGTGCCCGGAGCCCACCTGGTGGCCAGCAGCTTGGAGGTGACTGGGTTGGTCTTGACAAAGCCCAGAAAGGTTCGCTGGCAGAAGAGGTACGCACAGCTCAGGACGCCACAGATGGCCCTGGGGTGGGGGAGGGGGGTGAGTCCAGAGCCCCTCCCAGACCTAGGGCAGCAGTTCAGGACCAGGGGGGTGGTGGTGGGGGTGAGGGTGGGGGGAGGCCCCAGGCACCCACTCACCCCAGCGCCACGAAAAAAAAGATCTCCGGCACGTCGAAGGGGATGTCCACCCGGAAGCTGGTCTTGAAGAGGGAGGTGATGGTCTCTGGGCAGGGAGGGGCGAGCCTCACACTCCCGCCCCGCCCCCGCCCTGTCCCAGCACCTGCTCCCCGCCTGCCTGCTTGGTCCCTTCTACCCTTGGGACCCCCACCCTTCCTGCGCATCGCTCATCAGCTGCCTCCCTGGTCCCTAGGAGGAGGTGGGGGGCGCGGGAGAGGAAGAAAAGAGGAGAGGAGGGAGGAAGGGCCAGGGAGAGGAGGCCCAGGTGCTGGGAGGTGTCCGGTGATGGGGGAGACTCACCCTGCTCGCTGTTGAAGACGGCCAGGAGCCGGAACATGAAGGCCCCGCAGGTGGAGGCGAAGAAGCCTCTCCAGTAATCCCAGACGGAGAAGTGGGAAGACATGACCTCGATGCTGAACAGCACGCCTGGGGGCGACGCCGACCTCAGGCCCACCCCCGCGTCGACCCCACCCCGCCGCCCTCTCTTTGCCCCGAGCTGAAGCGAAGGGAAGGCGGGTGCCCCACTGCCCGGGGCCGAGACTAACATTCGTGCCCGCCCCTGAGCCAGGCCCCACAGCTGGGCAGAGCAGGGGGCAGGAGGGGTGTGGGGGACCCCCAGAGGAGGGAGGAGGGGGATCTCACCACTGAAGGGGGCTGCGAAGACTGTGGCCACGCCCACTGCCGCCCCCGCCACCAGCATTTCGTTTTGCTTGCTCTTGTTCTGGGGGCGATCCGGGGTCTTGGGCTCAGAGTGGGCCCCTTCCCTCCCCTCCCTCTCACTCCTCCAAGGGGGCCCTGCGTGAGCGCCACTCACCTCAGGCTCGCCAGTGGTCATGATGCGCAGGCGGCCCAGGTAGGCGGCCATCATCACGGACAGGTGTACGAAGGGGCCCTGCCAGGGGAGGTGCGGGCCCAGGGCGGCTCACCGCCTGACCTCTGCGGGGGGCCGGGCCCCTGCCTCTCCCTCTCAGGGCCCAGGGTTGGGGGCAGAGGAGCCCTCGTCCAGAGACAGCTTGGCTGCCCCCCACCGCTCCCACCTGTTCCGTCTCCCCCGCCCCTTTGCCACACTCTGGGGACCAAGCCTCCCTCCTCTCCAGGACTGAGTCCCCGAAGGCAGGTGCTGGCCGAGGCCCATCTGACCCGGCTCCGGTGGGGTGATGGGGAGAAGGTGGAAGGGGCGGAGGGGCAGGGCAGGCTGGGCAGGGGTGCCCTCACGCCTGCTCGTACCACTTTGCCCAGGAAGATGGTGCTGCCGCCGGCCAGGGTGCAGGTGAGGCCCACCACCTTGGCCCCGAAGTTCTTGATATCCAGGTAGTCCTCCAGGACCACACCAGACAGGATGGTCTTCAGCTCGGGGATTCCAGAACCTGGGCCGGAGGAGGGACAGTCTCGGGATGAAGCTCTTCACACCTGACCCTCGGAGGGTGTCTCATGCCACCCTCCTGCCTGGCCCTTCTAAATCCTAGGAATTGGGGTTCATAAACTCGTTTTGCAGATGAGGAAGTGGAGGGTCAGGAAGGGGACGTGAGTTGTCCGTGTCCTCCCAGCTGGGCCCGGCAGGTGGCTATGGCAGGATCGGGGGAACCCAGGGCAGGCTCTCAGGCCGCCGGGGACACACCCCTAGAATCCCCGTCTGTTGGCCTGGAGCCGGAGGCAGAGCTGACAAGCCGCGGGGGAGCTGTGCCCTCCACGGGCCCTTCCCTGGGGACGTCCTCGGCACCGGCCCTGCTGGGGAGCCTGCCTCCAGTTCTCCCCATCACCACCCAGAAAAGCTCTCCGAAAGGGACCAGAGCCACCGGGAACCCAGGAGTCGAGATCTGGCCTTCTCGCTGGGTGACTCTGGGCCAGTGACATGGCTCCTCTGAGCCTGGCTGTGAGATGGGGCGCTGCGTCCTGCCTCCTTTTACCCATCGGAAAGGTCTCGGCCGGCAGGACGTGCCATGCGGGGCGCACAAGCAAACGGTGCGGTGGCCGGGCTCACCTCCTGAGGAGGGCGTGATGCTCTGGGAGAAGCCGGAGGAGAAGGAGACCAAGGCGATGGGGTACACGGCCCAGGAGAGATACCGGAGCAGGTGGCCCTCGCCGATCTCCCGGTACAGCCACTTGTGTGCTGGGGACAGCCAGGAGTCAGGGACCACCCCCAGGCCCTGCCCACCGCCTCACCAGGAAACAGAGGCTTGGGGTGGGGAGGCCCAGGCCGTCCAGGGGGTGGCAGACCCCAGGAGGAGGCAGGAGCAGGACCCTGGATCCCTACCCAGTGTTGCCACTTCCTAGCTGAGGTTTTTGGTCCAGAGACCCAGCCTCTCAGAGGCTCTGCTTCCCTGTCTGTCAAATGCGCTAGTGATGACCCCCCTCACAGGGTCACTGTGAGAAATGGGACAGAGTGTGAGGCACCTCAGACCATGTGTGCTGCAGGGCGGGTCCTCGTGATGGCCCCTGAGCACATCTCCCAGAGAAGCTGTGTTACACCCATCCTGCCCCACGCCCCCTCTTCCGGGGAGGCCTCAGGGTGGAGGCAGCCTGCCGAGGCTTGCAGTCTAGGCAAGTGCCCTCCCCCAGAGCTGCTGAGCTGAGAGCGGGCGGGAGGGAAGAGAGGGAGCCGAGCGACAGGAAGAGGGGAACACAGAGCTCAGACGGGGACTCAGGAAAATCCAGGTCTCGCTCGCTCATTGTGCAGAAGAAGAGATTGAGGACCAGAGACGGGCAGGAGCCTACCCAGGGTCACACAGCAAGTCAAGAGCAACGCCAGGCCCAGGCCCAGGCTGCCTCCCTTCCCAGGCCCCTCCCCAACCCCCGCTGCACCTGGCGGCCCCTTTGGCATCCCTGAGAGCATGCTCAGAAGCCCTGGGTCCGGAGCAGGTGTGCGTGCCAGGGAGGGCTCACCTCGGGCCACACGCCCCACGGTGAAGCTCATGGTGTAGCTGATGAGGGCCATGAGCACCCCAAGGGTCATCAGGAAGTACCAGTCCTCTCCCACACGGAACAGCTTCTTTTTCAGCCATTCCAAGCCACCTGGTGCGGGGACACAAGGTCACAGCCCGGAGCCAGCGGGTCATGGACCTCACCTCCCCTGGAGGCCTGCTCTTGCCCCGCCCCGGGGAAGGGAGGGCAGGGGCAGTGTGGGGCTGGGGCTGGGGCAGGCGGTCCAGTCCAGGGCAGCCTGGAGGTTGGCTCTGCCAACATGAGAGGCAGAGCAGGATCTGTGGCAATGAAGGTGGCAGCCAGCACGGGGGGCCTTTGGCAGCTCTGCCCTCCCCCACCCCTGCTCCCTGCTGCGGTGCTTACAGAAGAACGACCGAGGGGCAGGGGTGCAGAGGGAGTGCTGGGAGCGGCACTCTCTCAGGTACCAGCGCAGCGGAGAGAACACAAGGTCTAGCAAGACCCCTCCCTGCGTTGCTCCAGGACCTGCAGGGCTGCGGTGGAGCCAGAGAGCACCCTCTGCGCCCCCAGCAAGGCTCCGGGCCTCGGAGCTGCATCCCCGAAAAGCAGAGGGCAGGCGTTGAGCACGTCTGACCCTTAGACCGAAGGACAAACAGAGCCCTTCCCTCTGGGCAGCGAAGCCCGGAGTGGACAAGAGGGGGAGGGCAGCTCTCGGGCTCCCGGGTGGGTGGGGAGGTGCAGCCTGCGCAGGGGGTGATGTCCTGAGGGGTCTTCCGTGGGGAGGCGAAGGGGACCTAGGTCTCACCTCGGACGCCTCGGCGGATCCGGGGACACGGGCCCCATAACTCCTGGAGGGTCACAGGGTCGCCTGAGGAGCCCTCACGCAGCCCCACCAGCTCCTCCATCTGGTCCCTGACGCAGCCCACAGGTGTGGCCCTGGGAGAGCCGCTCTGGCGCCCTCACACAGCCCCCGGGCCCTTCCAGTGTCGCTGCTGCTTCCCAGGTCAGAATGAAGGTGGCGTTTTCCTGTCATAAGTACATACACGCACAAAGTTATCAGGATGGACATGAGTCCAGTGTGCCCTGGGAGGTCACCGAGGGGGGTGTGTGCGTATAATGTGGGGGTGGGTTCCTAGCCGTGCCCTCCGTGTCCAGCAGCAGACGGGTCAAGCCAGGTCCCCAGGCCCCAGAGTCCCCTTCCCCCCACCCTGGTGGCCACTGCTCCTCCCCTGCCTGGACACGAGTCTGCCTCCCCTGCTCAGAGCCATCTCCATGCTCAGCGAAGCTCCTCTCTCACCGGGGGCCCCACAGACTGCTCCGACTCCCCAGGCCCATCCCCGAGCCCCCTCAGGGGCAGAACGGCCACAGAGGCAGGAAAACCCCATGCCTGCAAGGAGAGCTCTGTGAGGGTAGAAATGGGGTGCTGGCCCCCTGCCCCCCACCCTCCTGCCCCTGCCCTGCTTGACCTGGCCCTGGCAAATTCCACCCAAGTGCACCCCCAGCTCTGCACCCAGCGGCCCCTCACCTGCGTCTGTCCGCCCAGCCTCGGCCCGGACAGCGCTCCTCTGACGGAGAGTCCTTCGCCTGAAGCGCAGGTGTACCTGCACAGGTGTGTGTTCCACCAATCAACGTCCTGCTCCCCCTTCCTCCCCCCACCCCGCCCTGCCGGGGTTGACTGTGGCCATTAGGAATGTCCTTGACAAACCGACCAGAACTGCCCGGGCCGCTGAGCCGTGCCCCAGAGCAGCCGACAGGGGCCGGGAGCAGCGGCTCCACGCAACTCCCCAGGGCCGTGAAGCCCTCTGCAGGCTAGGGGACCTGGGGCTTCGGTGGGGACCTCATACACACAGCAGGACAGCTGAGGGGTCATCTGCGGGGGCTGAGGGTCAGGCCCTGGGCTCTCAGAGCTGGGCACGGAAGGGGCTGGAAAAAGCAGAGAAGGGAGAGGGGAGGAAGCCGACCGAGCAGGGGGAAGGGCTGGAGGGAAGGTGAGGGCACTGCCAGTTACTGCCCCTTGCTGGGTATCAACGCTGCCCCCCACCCCATTGGTGAGTGCTCGTGGAACCCAACGAGGGGGCGATGTTATCCCAATTTAAGGAAACAGAGTCTCAAAGAGGTGAGGCCCCTGGTCCCAGGGGTCAGAGGCCCAGGGCTGGGGCAGAGCACGGTGCTTCCTTCTGGGCCGTCCAGGAGGCAGACGAGCTGGGGGGGCGGGGGGAGCAGTGAGTCCCTCGGCCAGGCCCCGGGGAGGAACCTCGACCTGACCCTGGGTCCAGCCCCCCAGTCTCAGGACACTGCCTCTCAAACCACAAAGGCTTCTGTGTAGATGCCCAGGCTGTGTCGCGTCCCAAACAGAGGGCAGCAGCAGCAGCAGCAGCGGAGGGAGGAGCAGCTGGAAGCGAGAGCGGCGCTGCCGCCCCCAGCTGGTCCTTCGCCCACTGGGAGCCTCGGTCTCCTCTTCTGTCCGATAAGGGGAGCCTGGGAGCTATGGGGACAGGGGCCTATCTCTGCCCCGTTCCCACCAGTGCCCCCCCCACCAAACCCAGAAGGGTGCCCGGCACACAGTAGGTGTTCAATGAATACCTGATGACCGGGGAGTGGTTTCCGAGCACTAGCTGTGGGCGGCTGGCTGTGTGGGGAGCTGATGAAAACAGATTCCTGGTTCCTTCCCAGGACCCCAGATGAGAATCTCGGGGTGCAGGGTATGACTCTGTGTTTGTTCACACTTCCCTCAGGTGATCGGGATGCCCTGGCAGGTGCCGGATTCAAGGCCTCGGATCATCTCGGAAGCTTTTTCTACCCCTGTGATCTGTAGCGAGAGGCATGCCCAGAGACAGGAGACCGGCCGTGGTGACCTTTCAGGGTCCCTCCCAGTCCCTGAAGCCAGCAGACGCAGTGTGTGTGTGTGTGGGCGACACCCAGGGATGGGGGCAGGGGGGAGGAACGGTGGGCAGGGGTGGGGAACCAGATCTGACGCCCAGCAGCGGTGACTCAGGCCCTCAGCACCGTGACAGTGTGTCTGCATTTAGCCACTGGCTCCTGTTTCCCCCCCACCCCTCCCCCACCCTCTTCCCATCTCTCCTCGGTGCTGGTAACTTCCTGGCAGCCCCCTCGGCCAGGATGGGTGACATGGGCCCGGCAGGCATCCCCTGTGGAGGAGCAGACCCCACTTTCTCCTGTCACTGCTTCGGCCCCACTTTGGGGACCACCAGCACCAGTAGGGACCCCTATAGAGGGAGCCCCTAGGAAGGAAGCTCTGTGGGAACCAGAGAAAAGAGAAAGGGTCTCCACCTCCAGCAGCTCCCAGTCGAGCCCCTGCCCTGGGGGAACTGCCCGGTAAAGGAGAACAGCAAAGAAACCACAGACACAGGACCCCCAGGTCACCCTGCCGGGGGTGGGGCGGGCAGAGTCACAGGCGGTACTGTGGGGACGGGTCCCCTGTGTGGGTGCCACAATCAGAGAGGCCTCCATGGCGGGGTGGGCAGGATTTGCAGAGGAGGTCGGGGGCCCCACACTGCAGCGCGGGCAGCAGGGGATGGCCTCTCTCTGGCTTCGCCCCGGCCCCACCTGAGGTCAGTCCTGGCTCTGCTGAGCATGGATGAGCAGAGAGGGGCTTCTCGGGGTCTTCTGGGCCAGCCCATCTCCATGCACACGCGTTCGGGTCGCCCAGCCTCCTGGAGGGAGGGCTTTGCATCAGACACGCCTGGGTTCCAGTCCCAGCTCTGCCGCTCGCCCGGTGCAAGCCCGCCCTCCCTCTGGGAAGCTCTGTCCCCCTGTCTGTGCAGCGGGAATAACACCTCCTTCCACAGAGGGTGAAGGTGCTGGAAGGCTCCCCGCCAGGGGCCCAGCAGCGTTCCAGAAATCAGAGCTGGAATAATTGTCTTCCGGAATTCTCTACCTCTCGCTGCACGCCCGCCCGCCACAGTCCCTGGTGGCTCCTCGCAGCTGGAGGTCAGGCAGATAGTTCCCGGAATTATAACCTTCTAGATCTTTAAGGACAATCACCCAGTTACCTGACTTGAGGCCCAGCCCTGCCTCAGGTTGCTGGCTTTCTCCTCTTGGGGCCCCCCGAATGTTCCGGAGTGTGTGAAGGGGGTGGCGGGGAGGATGGCATCTGGGTCCCCGGGGGAGCTGGCGGGGGGACAGCTGCACACTCTGCCCCCCGGCCCTGCGGGCTCGGTTCTTCCTAAGAGACGCCGTGAACATTAGCCGCCGAGGGAAGGAGCCCCTCACCTCACCTTAAAGGGGTCTAGCAGCGGGGGCTCTTTCGCACCCCCCTGACCTGACCGGGATCTCACGGTGTCCCCAGAGCCAGGAGCTAGGGTCCCTCGGCCCTGATGTCCCACCACCCACCACCCGGATCCCCTCCCACCGAGGGCTGGAACTTCGGGGCAGGGGGTGGGGGGTTATTTCCAGCGCGGGAACGGGAAACAGGAAAGCCTGGCTGCGAGGAGCTTGCCGTCTGGCGGGGGAGGCGCAGCCCTCGGGAGCCCCAGGCCGATGGGAAAGAGGGAGACACAGAACCCCCTCCACACACCCACACGCATGAGGTCCTAGGCACGGGGGCGCGGTGGCAAGGGGACAGCTCCGGCCCCCTCCCTGCCACGGTGCCGAGGCCCCGGGGCTGCAGTTATCAGCTTGGAATGCCAGGCTATGAGCTCAGCCTCCCGGGCCGGCCCGTGTTGGACTGTCAGCAGGGCCGTCTCACTGGAGAAGATTTCCAGCCCCCTCTGGGCCACAGCGAGGCCTAAATTTAGCTGGTAGACAAGGGGCTGGCCCCGAGCCCGGGGACAGTCGGGCCTTATAAAGCGCCGGCAGTCAGGGCCCCGGCACGCTCCCCCAGAGCCTGCCGCCCACAGCCTCTGCCGTCCACCCCTGCCCGCCTGGCCAGGGCCCGGCTCCCACCCGTGGATGAGCCACCGGACCTCCTCCACCTTCAGAGCGGAGAGAAGCTTCCACTCCTCCTCGTCCTCCTCGTCCTCCTCGTCCTCCTCGGCCACCCGAGCCCTGCCCGCCCAGGACGCGCCCATGGACAAGGCCTTGAGCATGTTTTCCGAGGACTTCGGCAGCTTCATGCGGCCCCGCTCGGAGCCCCTGACCTTCCCAGGCAAGTGCTCGGGGCCCCGAGGGGACGGGAGATGCACGGGAAGGGGACACCTGCTCCGGGGCACCGTGGAAAGTGGCTGCGGCTGCCCAGCTGCGGGGAACAGGTGCTTCGTGGCTGCAGCTGCATGTGGCCACCAGGACAGATGTGGCCGTGAAAACAGGCAGGCCTCCAAGGAAGAGCTGTGACTGGGGGCCAGCTGTGGCGCCAACGGCCGGGTCCATGCTGGCGCTCTGGGGGGCAGCATGGGGTCGAGGGGTGCGATGCATCCCGCGCTCCAGGCGGGGGGTGGGGGGGTGCAGACAGTGCCTCCCACACACACACACACCCACCATGCCTGGGGAGGCCCCTCCCTACCTCCCCGCCGTGGGAAAAGTAGGCTGCAAGGGGGTGCAGAGGCGGCCAGAGGGTTAGGAGTAGTAGCTGAAGGAGAAGTCAGGGGCCTGGGGCGGGGCTCCCCCTCTCCCCCAGAGAAGGCACCAGAAACCTGAGCTCCAGGTGCAAACCTGCCCTGTGCTCAGCTCACGGCAGCCCTCCCCACAGCCCGTCCTGGGGGGCCGGGCAACATCAAGACCCTCGGGGACGCCTACGAGTTCGCTGTGGACGTGAGCGACTTCTCCCCCGAAGACATCATCGTGACCACGTCCAACAACCACATCGAGGTGCGAGCCGAGAAGGTGAGCCTGCCCGCCCCGCCCGGCCCAGGGTGCGCACCTGCGCCCGCCGCCCGGTGTCCTGTCCTGGGAGTCCGGACCCTCCCCTCTGTCCCCGCAAGCCCCCAGAACAAATTGGAGACCTGGCTCCTGTCACTTGTGGGCTGTAGGATCCCCGTTCCTGCCTCTCTCAGCCCCAAGACCCTTTTTACAGGAGTCAGGGCAGCTGAGGATACCCCAGTGGAGTGGGGCGGGGAGGGATGCAGGTGGGGCCCCCTGAGCGGGAGGTGAAAGGAAGGGAGAGGAGGGAGACAGTGGCTGAGTGAGGACAGCTCTTCGGACAGGCGTGTGGGTGGGTGGGGGCTCACCTGGCAGCTGGGGGAAGGAGTTCCCCCACATGACACCCCTCAAGCCCTCTTCCTCCTGGGGTCCAGAGGCCCAGCCCCAATCCCGGGACCCCTGGAAATGGAGTCCCCGAAGTTCAGGACCACGCATTCCGAACCCCACTCTCCCTGTGTCCACGGGTCTCAGGGTCACTGGGTCACCAGTGTCTCCGAGTCCCAGCTGCCGGGAGGCCCGCACCCCAGAGGAGGGCGTAGCCCTGCCCGGGCAGGGCTGCTTGTCCCAGTGGCCCACGGCCACAGGTGCCCATTAAAGGACAGGGTCTGCCTGAGGCTTCCACCAGGTCCCCATGGCCCAGAGCACTGGATGCTCAATGCCTGGGCACCCCGTCAGGGATGCCAAGGACCGTGGGCACCGGGACCAGGGGGCAGCCTGTGCCAGCCCTGCCATCCCCGCCGGTGACTCAGCCACCCCAGGCTCCTCTGGACACTATGTGCTGACTGGGCCGCGGGGGAAGGGCCGCCAGCCCAGCCCTGACTGTGGACATCGAACGTGCCCGAGTGTCCGAAAGGGCTCTGCCCTGCCCTGTGCCACCTTCTCCTCGTTGTGCAGGAGGAGCCCCAGGTTCTGCGCAAGCCTCCTACCCGTTGGGAGCCCTGGGCCTCCTCCGCGTGACTCTGCGCCTGTCCCCGCACGGCCCTCGGCCTGTGGCCACCATCGCCCCATCCTGGCCGGCCGCTGGCCTGGCCTCCTCCGCACCTGCGAGCGGAGCCCCTCAGCGGGCGGGGGCCCAGCTGGGCTGAGCCTGGGGAGAAGGGACTGTGGCTTGCCCCGGGCGGGACGGGGGTGGGGGCAGCCTGCCCTGACACGTCCCTCTGCCCCAGCTGGCGGCTGACGGCACGGTCATGAACACCTTCGCTCACAAGTGCCAGCTGCCGGAGGACATGGACCCCACCTCGGTGACCTCGGCCCTGAGGGAGGATGGCAGCCTCACCATCCGGGCGCGGCGACACCCGCACACAGAGCACGTCCAGCAGACCTTCCGGACAGAGATCAAAATCTGAGGGCCTCCGCCTTCCCCCGGCCTCCTGGCGCCCCGCCTTCTCCCCCGCTGGCCCGCTGGTTTTCCTGACCCCCTCCCGACAGCTCGCGGGACAGCTCCGCCCAGACTCCAGCCCTGACGCCCCCAAGACCCCAGGCGGGGGGCCCCACCCCCCGGGCTGAGGCCCTGGGCTCTGCCCTTGCCTACCTGTGGCCCCAGATTCCAGATGGGGCCTCTTCGCTTAACCAAGAGCAAAGGGACCGGGATGGGGAGAGGAAGACCCCAGAGAACCCCCCTGGGGAAGGGAGATGAGGAGAGGCAGGGTCTCTGGGCAAATAATCTGCAGGACAGACACACAAAAGCTTGGCTCTATGGAGTCTCTGCAGGGCAGGGGTGGGGGCGGGGAAGGGGACCTGGGGCCCTCTTGGCAAGGGGGGCAGGAGAGGCAGAAGGCAGACCTCCGGGGCCCAGGGGCCAGAGGACACAGCGGGATGGACACCTCCGTTCTCCCACCCCCTAAGCTCCAAAGCAGAGGTCAGGCGGCCTGCCCACCTGGGGCCCCCGCCAGCCAGCTGTGCCGGGGCAGGGCTGCTGCGCAGAGCTGGGGTTTTTCCAATACAGCTGGTTCGTGACAAACTGTGTGAAACTCCTGCCATCGGTCACCTGCTCGTGCCCCCAGGCAAAGCCAGGCTGCGGGGTGGGGCTGGTCCTTCTGTCCCCCATACCGCCCACCACTTCCCCACCCGGCCTGGGGTCCCAGGCTGCTTCCACCCCAATGGGTCACCCCACAGAGGTGGGAGGCAGAGCGTGGATGGGGCTTTGGGTCTCCAGGTGGGACCAGAGTCTTGCCAACCTTCCCCATGGCTACTCGCCTCCCCATCCTTGCCCCTGTTTAATCTATGAATCTGCAGGCTTGGTGCGTGTGCACCGCACAAGCACGCACACTCCGTCGTCCTTCAAACATTAAGTGTGACCCTTAGCTGAGTCCAGACTCAGAACGTTCTAAAACCGGATTTCAGTCTCCGTTTTCATCAGTGGGGAAATGGAGCCTCTGGCGGCTGATCGCCCACTTGCTCACTGAAGGTGAGGTGTGAACCCCGGGAGCCAGAGGCTGCCCTCGGACTGAACTGCGCCCGCCCCCACCCCTCTGCGCACGGGGACGTCGCTCTCCTCTCTCTGCTTCTCCTGGTCCACGGCCCCTGTCCCCACACGTTCCTGTGGGAGAGTGCCCTCGGCCCGGTGCCCTCTGGGTCCCCAGGCCAGTGCGGCACCTCCAGGCAGCCCCAGAGCCCCCCCAGGGGCCCCAGCTCAGCCTCCACACACAAAAACAGGGGTGAGGGGAGGAGATGGGTCGATATTAGTCGGGAGGTGGGGAGAGGGCCCCGGGGCGCGTGGTAGAGCCAGTCTCTGCTCCCTGGGCCTCGGGTCAGTGTCCTGTGGGGTGGCCTCTCGCCCCTGCGACTGTGGGGTCCTTAGGGTGTGTTTGGGTGGGAGGGGATGGGAGGGTCCTGGCATTGTACCCTGCACACATAATAAATGACAAAATCACAGACTTCTGGAGGTCACCTGCCTGAAATTCTCGAACTTGGATAAGGATAAACAGACTTGCCTTCCTTGAGCATAACTCAAGACCTTACAGAAATGTAGGTGTCTTTTGGCTTCTTTCCTTGGCTCCCAGAACCAGCTGGGCAAGACCTGGAATTATTTCCGTGAAGACTTGAAGTGCCTTCTTCCAGCTGCCAGCCAGCACCTTCCTCTGCAGCCAGACACTGTCCCAGGCCCAGGGACACCAAAGGTGGGTCAGCTGCACTGAGCCCCTGCCTTCCTGAAGCCTGTCTTGTACCAGATGGCCACTGGGGATCAGAGAGGCTGAGTGATTGGCCCAGGGTCACACAGCCCCAGGGGCAGAGCCGGACTGGAACCTGGTTTAGGGTGTTGGCTAGTTCAGGGAGCCTGGGTGCTCTCTGGAGGGACTCCCATGCACCCCATACCCCCGCTGGGCGCTACTGAAATCACAGCACCAGGCCAACTCGAGCTGCAGGCAGGAGGAGGGGAGGGTGAGTGGGCACGGTATTTCCAGCCTCTGTGACTCACTGATTCCGCTGTGCTATTTGCAGCCCCAACACTCATCGGCCTGGGGTTTAGGGGAGGAGCCGGACCAGCTCCCCCCTTCCTTGACTCCCATCCATGGGGTCAGTCTCACCTTGGCCTTCAGAACCCAGCAAAGTCCCACCCTGGGCTGGGCTGGGCTGAGGGGAGCTGGGCCATTGGCAGCCCAGGCTGGGAAAGGGGTCAGCTCCCCACGTGGCCAATGGGGCCACATACTTTCCACCCCGCAACCCCCAGGCCCCAGCAGACTGCTCCCCAGACCAAGGTTTGGGGGATGAGGGTCGCACAGAGGACAGAGTGGCTGCTGGGGACTGGACATGTCCAGACTGTGGGAACCCTCCCGCCAAGGTGACCCTGTGGAAAAGGAGGGCGGGGACGAAAAGACCGGCAGGCTGTCTCTCAGCGGCTCTGCCCCCTAGGTGCCTGGACTGGCGGCAACGCTTTGTCTCTAGGGCCCCCCACCCTTTCCATGCTAAATATAGGCCTGGCTGGATGCCCTGCACCCCGCCCCACACCCCACGAAGAGTAATTATAGCAGCCCCATTCATTGAGAGCCCAGAGCGTGCCAAACACACTGCTCGTCCCCACAGCAGCCCTGCAAGGTGGGTACCGAGGAGGACATGCAGGTTCACAGAAGTCAAGCGACCAGCCCGAGGTCACCCAGCTTGGAAGGGGCATGGTGGAGTCCTTGGCTGTGGCTCTGCAGGGTCAGCCCCAACCAGAAGCCCACCCTGAACCCAGAAAAGCCGGCGTGCGGGCTGCCCGTCGCCGACCAGACTCTATAGGCAGAGACGGGGTTGAATCTGTGTGGGCGCTGTAATCAGATGGTCAGCGATCTGAGGAGACAGTGGGATTGTACCCCAACAGACCGTCTGCCATTCCATGTTAAACCCACCTTTTTTACAAGGAGAAGGAAAGTGTGGGCGAGGGGATTGGAATTCAGGGGAAACGCTGATCAGATAAAAGCTGCAGCGTTCTTTCTCTGGGCCCCGGGCGGTGGGCGGCGCCCCCCGGAGCACAGGGGCTCAGACACCGCCTGGACTGCTGCGGTCCTCCTGGGGCCGGAACGTGGAACTGCCTGGGGGCTCCTGGAGTCAGGGTGGGGCCCGCCTCCAGTTCCTGGAGCCACAGCTTTCACGTGCGTTGATCGCTACGCTTATTAGCTATTGCCTGAAACCAAAATTTTTCCGACGTTTGAGCCCCGCCCCCCCCTCCGTCAACACCACGAGGGGTCCAACCAAGGCAGCCCCACTGCACCCCACACACATCCTGTACAGGAAAGTGGACTCATACTTCTTTTTTTATTTTTTAAAGATTTTATTTATTTCTTTTTAGAGAGTGCAAGTGAGAAAGAGAGAGAAACGTCAATGTGTGGTTGCCTCTGGAGCGCCCCCTACTGGGGACCTGGCCAGCGCAACCCAGGCATGTGCCCTGACTGGGAAACCGGCAACCCTTTCCTTTGGTTCTCAGCCAGGTGCTCATCCACTGAGCCACGCCAGCCAGAGGGGCCCTTGTACTTCTTACAGCTCCTGGAGTGGGCTTGGCAGGAGGCGGGAGAAGCTGCAAATATGGTACCCTGCAGAGCTAGAGACCCGGGAGAAGGTCCAGGTCAGGTGGTGTCAGAGACCCTGAGGGGTGCGGAGGACCGAGGAGGCTCCCTCACTTTTAAAGACCTGGCCCAGGGCAAAAGCCCCCTCCTCCAGGAAGCCTTCCAGAGCTACCAGCGCAGAGTCACAGAGTCGTAGAACCCTAGGCCCATACCTGGTCTTTAACAGAAACTCAGATGAAAAGAGCATATTGGTGGGGGGCAGACCCAGGGGCCTCAATCACTTGCTTGGCCAGCCCTGGTCCCTTGGGAGTCAGTTTAAACTCCTTACGGGAGACCATGGCCCAGGGAAGGGGGGGCCCTTGCCTAGGGTTACACAGCAAGTCAGTGGCAGAGATGGGATGGAGACCCAGACCTCCAGAACCTCAGGCCAGGGCTTCTCTGCCAGACCAACACCCCTTGGCCCACCCTGCCCTGGCCCGGGGGTAAGCCCCGGCACCCACACTGCACCCCCAGCTCCCGGTCCCATCCACCCACCCCCTATCTGCCTTGGATCCCAGTTCTGCAATCGCAGAAGAATAAGCCTTAGTCTGCCCTCTTGCTCCCAAGCCTGGTGTGGGAAAGGAGCTAAGTAAACGTTTGCAGGATTAAAAACAACTAATGAGCCTCAGTATAGCGCGGATGGTCCGTTGTAAACTCTGGAGCCACTCCACCCGGGTTCGAATCCTGGCTCTGCTGCTCCTGAACTGCATGATCTTGCGCGAGTGCCGTCCCCTTTCTGCGCCACAGCCAAACGGCGCTAATAAGCTCTACACGCTAGAGCTGTTTCTAGATGCATTTAAACGCCCTGGCGCTTGGTTGTGACGTAGCTCACATGTGCCGCGCACCGAGACGCCCGGGGCACTGCGTACAGATTTGGACCCTGAAATCCCCAGCTTCACGCTCACTCTCCCTGCACCCAAGGCTGAGACTGGGCTAGAGGGACGAATTGCCGCCTTGGTACCTGGGGTCTTCTCTCCAGGGGAAGTGGGTGAGGACAGAGCTGAAAGGTTCCCTGGGCTTCCCGGGAAGAGCCTGCCTGGGCCCCAGGGGTGGAGGTGGGCAGGAAGCCTCCAGAAGCCTAGTTCCCTCATCCATAAACAAAGACCCAGGAGCACACTCCCAGAGAGAGCTGTTTTAGTTTAAGCTCAGTAAGTGCTAAGCTTTTGTTCAAACTGTTGTTTTCTGAACAAGGAAAACCAAGGTACCACCCACACTTGCTCTGCCCCCAAACAAGAGAAGGGTCCCCAGGGGCTTAGTGACTGGAGTGGGCTGGATGGGCCACCAAGGCAGCCGTCCCTGGGCAGGGAGGGGCTGTTATTTACAGTCAGCACAGCTGGCCCGCTGCTCACCGCCAGCAGCCAGCCAGGCCGGAGCCCTGGGTCCTTGGACCCAGGGACAACCTCCCAGGGAAATCTGGGGGATGCGAGACTGGGTGGGGGCCCTCTGGGTGCCACCCTGAAGGGCACAAAGCAGGGCTGCTGGCCACACAGTCATCCTTTTTTTAAAAAGACAGCATTCATTGAGATAGTAGGCACTTTTTCTTTTCCTTTTTTATAGACTCCAGAGAAAAGGGAAGGGAGGGAGAAAGAGAGGGAGAGAAACACCAATTGATTGGCTTTCTCTTGCTCGAGCCTGGACTGGGGACCAAACCCACAACCCAGGCATGTGCCCTGACCAGCAATCAAACCCACGACCTTTCGGTTGTTGGGACGACATCCAACCCCCTGAGCTGCACCACTCAGGGCGCCCCACGCAATTCTTGAGCACCTACTACACCGGGTACTTTAAGGCACCGGGGATTGCGAACTTAAAATTAAAAAGGCTTTTCCATGTGACAGGCAACAGGCATTTATTTGAAATCAATAAGAATAGCTCTTCAGGAAGCATTGATTCAGGCAGAAACCCAAGTAACAGTCCGATTAAGAAACAAAGTCAAAACAACAAAAAGAAAAAGGGAAAGAAAAGAGACAAAGACAAGGGGTGTTTATGAGGAAGGGAAAAAGAGTGATTACATCAATAGGAGGAAGACATTTCTACAGGTGCAGACAACACAGTGATGCTAATTCTGAAGAATGGTTGTAATTTGCAGTCTGGTAGCAATAATATCTACTTTCTTGGTGTCTGCACACAGTTCTTTGGGGCACAGGGTTCCTCTGGACCCGGTCCAGAGGTTATTTTGCTCCGTTTTAACATCCAAAGGTTTGAGGCATGAGACGTGCAAAGTAATTCCTCTGTTGGGGCAGGTCCGATTCCATTTTATTTAATTTTTTTAAAGATTTTTATTTATTTATAGAGAGGGAAGGGAGGGGGAGAGAGAGAGAGAGAGAGAGAAACATCAATGTGCGGTTGCTGGGGGTCATGGCCTGCAACCCAGGCATGTGCCCTGACTGGGAATCGAACCTGCGACACTTTGGTTCGCAGCCCGTGCTCAATCCACTGAGCTATGCCAGCCAGGTTATTTAATTTTTTAAATTTTATTTATTTATTTTTAGAAAGAGAGGAAGGGAGAGTGAAAGAGAGGGAGATAAACATTAATGGTGCGAGAGATACGTCCATCGGTTGCCTCTCGCATGCCCCAAACTGGGGACCTGGCCTGCAACCCAAGCATGTGCCCTGACGACCAGGGATCGTACCAGCAACCTTTTGGTCCACAGGCCGGCACTCAGTCCCTGAGCCACCCCAGCCACAGCCCGACTCCATTTTAAAATGACCTATTTTATTTTATTTTAGACAGGACACAGTCCTGATTAAGCATAACTGCCAACCCAGGGGCACATGCACTCAATCACACTTTCCCGCACTGGTTCAATAAAGTCCGTCATTGACGGATTGATTCATTCCCTCAACGGGTTTTCAGTAAGTCCATATAGTATGGTCCGGTTGTTATAGCTTCAAGGTCAAACTACTTCTTCGTCCCCCCGGCTCTGCTTCTTACTAGCTCTGTGACCTTGGGCCAGGTGCTTAACCTACCAGAGGCTCAGTTTTCTCATCTGTAAGATGGGACGGCGCCTCCTAGGATTTTGGAGAAGAGACAGAGCTATCCTCTTCCACTTGTGTGCCCCGTCTCATTGAGGGTCCCACTCACCTGTTCAGGCCCCTAGACACTCCCTACATACTGTCAGGGCCCAGGCTGGCTCCTTGGAAAGCTTTCATTCTTCCTTCACTCACTCAACCAATGTGAAGGGAGCGCCTACAGCACAGCGCAGCGATGCTATGACTACAGGTGTGTAGTCATGTGGCCTGGGGATTTCTAGATGGGGACCTTGGGCAAATCACTTCGTCTCTCTCTGCCTCAGTTTCTCATCTGTAAAATGGCAATAAAAATCACACCCACCTCACAGGTCTGGAGTGGAAGGAATTGAGTGGCATGTGATGAACATAAAAATACCAATAGTCCTTATTCTGGATGAAAGGGGTGTTGGTTAGAATGAAAGTTTGGATTCTGAAAACATGGACCCCACTGAGCCACTGGCCCCAGGGCTCTGGCTCCATGGCCAGCAGGTTCCCACCTTTCCCACCCAGGGGGAGACCAGGGTGCCCTCCAGGCTGGTGATAGGGCGACACCTGCTGACGAACAGCTAGATGTGCAGCTACAGGCTTCACCCTTTTCCTTGAGGGTCTCAAACTCCCTATATCCACTGTCTCTGGGCTCTAGAAGCTAGCCCAGTGATTTTTAATGAGGAGAGCAGAGAGGAAGTGACCTCATATCATCCAGATTATTCTGTCACCGCCTCTCTAGTTCAAACCATCTCCCACCTTGCTTGAATTAAGGTGCAGCCTCCTAAGCTTCTGATCCCAGCACAAGAGCTAGAAGAAAAATTTTAAAAGGTACGTCTGGTCATGTCATCTCAGCTCACAATTTCCAATGGTCCCCATCTCAGAATGAAATCTAAAGACCTCATCACGGTCTGCAGGGCCTCACACAGTGGGGTCCCTGCCACTTCTCTGACATGTCTGCTTGTTTCCTGTGTGTGCTTTGCTAGAGAATAAGCACCTCCATCGTTGGGCCCCATTCCAGCATCTAGCCCAGAGCCTGGCACACAGTGGGTGCCATATAAAGACTTGGTGAATAAATGAATGAATACAATAGCCAGCCTGAGTGACTCTGGTCCTTTCTGGAACACTCCCCACCCCTGCCTCGCCTTTGTATGGTTCACTCACTGTTCAGATCTAAGCTTAGATGTCACTTCCTACAGGAAGCCCTCCCTGATTTCCTCTCCCAGAGTGGGCTGGGCACCCTCCTCCAGCCCCAACAGCATTCTGTGTGCCTTTATGCTTGCACCCATCAATAGTCACCTTTCTTGCCTTCCCCACCAGGCTGTGAGCTCCTTGAGGACAGGACTACATCTGTTCTTTCTGAATCCTGTCTGCCTAAAAGTGACCTTACTAGGATGGGAGGCCATTGGCCCTAGGGTTTAGAGCAAGAACTTGAGCACCAGGCTTGCCCAGCTTCTAATCCCAACTGCACCAGTCCATGGGCACTTGGGTGGGTCCCTCAACCTCTATGTTCCTCCATTCCCTAATCTGTGAAATGGGCACAAAACCAGTGCACCCCCATACTGGCACAGAAAGGATGTTTTTTCCCTGGCACAGAGCAAATGGTCAACACATGTCAGCTACTAAAGTTTGTAGGAACCTGGTGAAAACAGTCATTTGAATAAATAAACGGACGATCAGCAATTTTAATCCGAGAGCCTTGAGACGCGTCCTCAGATGGGTTGACTTAGCGTTTTGCCCAGTGCCGTGCCTTCCTTAGACTGTCACACACCCTCACACACACCAGTGAGCACACGTCACGTTGGGGGACACGACTGCCCTATGGAGCAGGACCCCCCTCTTCTGTATTTCTAGGGGGCAGCACCAGCCTGGTGTGAAATAGATGCTCGGTTTGTACCATCTCTTATTTTATCTGTTCGAATGTGATACTCCTTCCCTTTGGCGGACTTTCGCCTCCTCTTGAGAAGCTGGTTGCCTTTCCTCACTCTCAGATGGCCAGGTCCTACCTAAGTCCTTGAATTTCCCCATTCTCTGTCTCACGCCCCTTGGTGACCTACACGCTTGTATGTGAACCACGATGACAGCGGCCAACGTGCTGCCCCTGCCTGTCGTGCTGGGGCATCCTGACCCCACGCGGTCTGCTTTGCGCCCCATGGCCCTGGGTGACGGTGGTTCACAGAGCTTGGCTCCTTCTTGCCTTTTGGATCATACTTTCTTTATTTTCAAAAAGATTATTTATTTTGTATTTTTAGAGAGAGGGGAAGGGAGGGAGAAAGATGGACGGAAACATCCATATGTGGTTGCCTCTTGCACACCCCCTACTGGTGACCTGGCCCACAACCCAGACGTGTGCCCTGACTGGGGATTGAACCGGTGACCCTTTGGTTCCCACAGGCCAGTGCTCCATCCACTGAGCCACACCAGCCGGGGCAGATCATACTTCCATCGCTACCCACTCAGAGAGGCCTTCCCCAGCCACCACATCAGAAAAGCCCTTCGCCCCCAACTCTGTCCACCCTGGTACCGTGTCTCAGTGTCTACACAGAGCTCGCCTTGTCACTGTTCAAAATCATCTTTATTTATTTGGTTGTTTAACCTTCTTCCCGCCTCTCCCCGCACTCCAGGGGTACAAGCTCCAGGAAAGCGGTGGTGTTTTCCCTGGCATTTGGCAGACCCTGGCAAAGAGGCCGTGGGCCCTGGGAAGGGCAGTCCCTGGACACTTGAGCCTGAGGTGCCAGCCCCCTCGCCCCAGGGTCAGGCTCTCCCAGTCAGTCTGCCGGCCCACAGACACAGGAGGAGAAAGCTTTGAGCGCGCCCATGACTATATTCCAAGCCGAAGACATCGTGGGCCCCGTCTTTGGGGGGCTCCCCTTGGCTTCCGGGGGCTCCTGGGACCTCAGGGGGCTGACTGAGGAGAAAGCTGAGGTCACAGTCCCTCTGCGGGGTGGCAGGGTGCCCCTGGCCTGGGCAAGGTGCTCCCCACCCAAGGGTGCCTCCTGAATCAGATGGGACCGGCTGTGCCCACAGAACAAGAGGTAAGTCTTCATGGGCGGGGTGACGGGCCCTGGGTTGGGACCGAGGGCTTGGGGCGGCGGTGCCGGGGGAGCTGCCAGAGAGAACGGTTTCCCACGGGCACAGTCGATGACGAAAGTCAGGTGAGCTGTGGGGACGGCCTTTAGACGGCGGGCTGGCTTCCCCCCTAGAAGGAAGGAGAAGGCCGAAGGTTCACGTTAGCACGACAGTCCACGTGGTTCTGTCATTAATTCACTTGGTGGTTCACTCCCCGAGGTTTTACCCGTGCGTAGGTGGACACACACAGATGGAAACCGTGGGGGCAGAGAGCGTGGACTTCAGCACCAGAGAGACCTGGCTTTAAACCCTGCTTCCCTCTGATTGGCCATCTGCACCCCAGGAGCCCAGGACCCCTGGCTCAGAGCTCCTCGTCCTTGGGGTGCACACGGAGGGCCCAGCGCCTTGCCACCGTGCAGGCTCCAGTACAGGGGGTGGGGTGCGTTTCCGACCAGCTCCAGGGAGATGCTGGTGCTGCTGGTCCAGGAACCCTCCCCGTGAGCAGTGAGGGCCTCAAACAGGAGGAAAGCCCCAGCCCCCTTCAGCAGATTAGAAGACTGAGGCTGGGCTTAAGCAGATATGAGGGGCCTCGGGCAGCACCATGCTGCTCTCCCCCGCCCCACGTGACACCAGAACCTCAGAAAACACCTCCAGTTCCCGGTCATTTCCGCCCTGGGGGTCCCTGCTCTGTCCTCCCCACCCAGCTCAGAGCCTAGTCCGGGGAGAAGAGCCGATGGGATGGGTCCGTTTATCAGTGAAGCAAGTGCTGGAGCAGGTCTCCCTGAATCTAAAGCTGCTGTTCTTAAAAAAGTAACTTTTCGAGTTCCCCTAATAATAAACACATCCATTCCCTTAACGACGTGCTCTCCACCACAACACAGGGTCGGGAGGAAGCTTATGTTCTGTTAGATTGTTTAAAAAGAGAAATAAAAGTGCAGTCCTCCCCTGGCTTGAGAATCCCGGCAGCCCCCAGGGAGGGTAGCCGCCCTCGGCCCCTCCCAGCAGGCCCTTCTCCAGGGCAGAGGCATCCTCCACCATCTCTTACCTGAACTGGCGTCCGGATCTGTCTCAAGCCCCACAATTCCGGGGCTGGCCCTCTGGTCCCTGAGGTGGTCTGATGAGGCCATGGCTGCTGCCACTGCGCCTAGTCCAGCGTTAAGGCAGGAGGAGCGGTTTGGGGCAGCCTGTTCCAGAATGCAGTTCCCTAGCCAAGGGCCAGACCTTTTGTATTTACAGGATCCGGATCCTGACTGCCTTCCCCCGGGAGCCCCAGGAACTGGCCTGGGGCAATAAGGGGATTACTTTGATCCGCAAGGTTATGTCAACAAGGTTGCTGTTGGGTCTTCTTCGGGAGGCAGGCCTTCCACCACACACACACACACACACACACACTCACACACACACTCCGCTTCTTCCAACCTCAGCGGCTCCCCGACCCGGCACGGGCCTCGGAACCTTCTCCTCCAGGCCTCGGTTTCCCAAACCTCAGTCATCATCGGGCTGCACCACTGTTTTGTCTTGTTACTTTTTTCCCCCTACCTAAGACTCTCTGGAATACTCCTTACGTAACTCCTCCCTTGGGGCCCCAAACAACAAACATGTATGTCTCGTAGTTCTAGATGTTGGGAAGTCCCAGGGGAAGGTGTCTGTAGACTTGTTTCCTGGTGAAGACCTGCTTGCTGGTTCAGAGGTAGCTGTCTTGTTTTCTGGGACAAGGCACCTCTCTGGGGTCTCTTTTATAAGGGTTCCCCCCTCATGACCTAATCACCCTGAAAGACCCCCACTGCCCCGACCTGCTAATACCATCACACTGAGGGTCTGGTTTTAAAATACAAATTTGGGGAGGGCACCATGTGTAGCATCCTTTAAATCAAACCAACTGCTTTTACTGGAAAAGAAAAACATTTCAAAAAGAAAATTGATATTGCTTTATTAAATGGAAACAATATTACTAGTGTGAATAAGAAGTAACTGTATGGTTGAAGAATGGCCCCCAAAGATATCCACGCCCTAATCCCCAGAAAGGGACTTTGCAGGGGTGGTGGAGGGTATTCTGACTCTGCCACCAATTCCCGGGTGTGTTTTTTTGCTACTCAACCAAGCAATGAACTCAGTCCAGACACTATCTACCTGGAGATAGTACCTGGAGATAGTGTCAGACCATACAGGTTAAGATAAGAACTCTGAGCCCTGGCTAGTGTGGCTCAGTGGCTTGCACACTGGCCTGCGTACCGAAAGCTCAATGGTTTGATTCCCAGTCAGGGCACATGCCTGGGTTGCGGGCCAGGTCCTCAATTGGAGGCAAGCGAGAAGCAGCTGTTTCTCTCTCACACAAGGATGGTCCTCTCCCTCTCTGTCTTCTTCCCTTCCCCTCTAAAATTAAATAAACAAAATCTTAAAAAAAAAAAGATAAGACCTTTGTCCTACAAGACTGCTACCCTGACCCTGCAGAGGCCGATGGAAAGTCCCAGTTGTCATCGAACTTCTGTAGGACTAGAGGTTCCCACAGCCCCGTCCTTGGGTTTGGTTTATTTGCTAGAGCAGTTCACAGAACTCAGAGAAATATTTTACTTATTAGATCACTAGCGTATTATGAAAGGTGAAGAATGAGTGAAGAAAACAAGATGAAATCAGTGTAGCTAAACTGACTGAAAATGGAGCCCGGGTAGTCAAGTTCGCAAAATCCGTTTAGACCGCATGGGCCGAGTATGAGGAACAGATTTAATTTTGCTTTAATGAGCCTGAGGACTTAAACTTTTGAACTTTTCAGTTGTGCATCAATGCCTGGAAATATATATAAGTCCTATAGCTAACCCTCTGGAGAAATCAAGAAAGAATGTTCTCCTGTCCACACCACCAGACATCCACATCAACATAAGAAATGCCCAAACCTGTAGAGAATTTTTATAAGAGTTTATCTGAGCCAAACGGACACCATATGCCGGGGAGCAAGATCTCAAATGCTCCTGAGAATTACAGTTTTGCATCTTCATATATGCATTTGAGAGGGAATGTAAGGCAGATTATGTGAAGCTGGGAGAGGGCAAGGTGGGGCTTGGATTGCAGGAAAGTTAACAAGATTATGGGCTCTTTTAAGGGTGTTTCAGGTTTATTTCAAAGGTGTGTTAACCTTGTTGTGCAGAAAGCTTCAGCAGGATAAACCTTTTACTAAAAAAGTACAGGCCTGGGGCGGGACTGCACACCGTGACCTGCCCAGTTGGGAAGTTATGATCAGATCACCCTGAGGTTACTTTGTCCACAGATCCCTTTCTGCATCCACGTCCGTCATCCAGACCCCACACATCTGGGAGATGACCATCTCACCCACCCAGGCGCCAAGACTGCACAGCTGATTCTTCTCAAGACTGTACTTTGTACTTTTTACTGTATGAACTCTCAGTTTTCCTCTCTCCTTTGGAACACTCTGGGTGTTGCCTCGTTGCGTTTCCTTTTTGCAAATCCTTTGAATAAGTCTTTGTTACTTATTTCTAGCCAAAGCCTCCTGATTGGGTCTGGCAAAGGACACAACTCAGGACCAGCCAGACGGAAGAGATGCATAGGGCAAAGTATGCAGGAGGCGACGAGGAGCTCCCACACCCTCTGCGTGTGCCACTGTGCCCAAACCTCCACGCAGTCCCCAGCCTGGGTACTCTCAGAACACCATTCTTTTGGGTTTTCACGAAGGCTTCATTGCAGAGGCCTGGCTGATTAACTTATTGGCGTTGGTGATTGACCTCCATCTCCAGCTCTTGATTTTGGCCCAGAGAGACGCCCCCGTGTCGGACTTCTGACCCACTAATAATAAGTTTGTGTTGCTTTAACACTCTAGGTTATGGCAATGTGTTGCCACAGCAATAGAAAATTGATACAGATCTATCTGTGTCGCAGGTGTAAGTCACCTCTATGCAGACTGTGTGCTTGGTTTCTGGGGCATTTTGGAGTCAGACTCTCCTTCCAGATCTGGAGACAGATGAGGGGTGGTGAGCGGTCTCTGAGGGGAATCAGCACCTCCTTATAATATAACTTTCTAAGACAAAGTCATCTACATGCTCTGCAGGGAAAGCAGGGTCAGCCTCTGTTGGTGGGAGGAGGGGCTGCTGTCCTCATACAGACACCAGTAGCGAGAGCGTTGTGAAAAATTAAGGACCACGGAAAAAGCACAGGATCAGAAGCGAAGCACGGAGAAAGCCCACGAACTGTGAGACAGCAGAGGTCAGTGGCCAGAAGGTGCTGGAAGGTGGAAAGAGGCCACCGCGGGACTGTTCTAGTCTGCAGACATTTTCGTTCTAGGAACCATCGGTCACACCCAGGCTAATCCTGGAAACGCCCTAAGCGGGGACAGGGGTAGTGGTTGGCTCACAGGACAGAAAAACGTGATCCGGGATCCACAGTTTTGGAACCACAGCTAAATCCACACCTTTGCTCCACCACTTGTGAAATGCGTGACAGGGGCACTCCATTTACCCTTTCTGAGCCCGTGTTTTCCTTCTCCCAAAGTGGGAGACGAACACTGTTTTAAGGTTGGTGAGAAGATTTAGCAACACAGTGCCTGGCACACAGTGAGCGCTGAACCCGTAAAAGCTGTTACTGTCGCAGCGGGAATAGAAAACCGAGGGAAGACTACCATGAAGACAGTTCTGCCCTGGCTGGTGAGCGCCGGCCTGCGAACTGTGAGGTCGCAGGTTTGATTCCCCGTCAGGGCACCAGCCAGCAAAGCGGGTCAGGCCCCGGGAGTGTGTGGCAGGTAACCTGATTCTCTCACACGAGTTTCTCTCCCTCATGTTTCTCTCCCTCTCTTTCTCCTTCCCTTTCCCTCTCTCTAGAAATAAAAAAAAATTTTTTCTTTGAATTTCTAATTGCAGAAGTTAATGTATAACTTCTGGGTAGCTGGGCGCATGCGCCTGTCCGCGGTCCTCGCCTAGCGCGGGCGCTGCGCATGCGGCGGAAGTTGCAGCCGGGAAACCGGCGAGGTCGGTTCCGCCCGACTCTGACATGGCGGCGCCCTTTGTCTGCTCTGAAGTGCCGTCCCCGGCCTCCTCGCGGCCGTGATGCACCTCTTTCAGCGGTGGGGTCCGGGACATGGCAGGTGAGGGTCAGCAAGCGCCCGGGGCCGGGGGAGTCCTGGGATCCGGGCGGAGGCGGCGGAGGATGGGGCGCGGCGATATGCCGGGACGGTTGTGTGGGGGAGGGGAGGGAAATGGAATGAGAAGGGAACCCAGACTAAGGGGACCCCGCGGGGCAGGAGGGTGAGGGGCAGCTGGGCGGACTGCGCCGCTCGGGGAGCGGGAGGGAAGTGGTTGGAAAGTGGTTGGGAGAACTGGCAATCCTGGCAAGGGAGCGGCAAGGGAGCGCGAGTCGCCTCACGGGCTGGGTGACACCCCAGCTGGTAGCATCTCCGCCCCCGCCGCCGGGCTGTCACCGCCCCTTGACCCCGCGCGCCTCAGCGGGTGGGCGTTCTGTGGCCGCGCCGCGAGGGGGCAGGGTGCCGGGGCAGCTCACATGCGCTGGAAGGGGCAGAGGGCACAGGCCTGCCAGGGCCTGGTAGGTTCTGGCAGAGTAGGAGGCCGCCGCTGCCCCTGGGTACAATCCCATCCACTCCCCCATTCATTCATTCCGCAGACGGTGATTCAGCGCCCGGAGGGTTCTGGGGAGGAAGGGTCGTCTGATCCAACTCTGGCTCAGCGGTGAAAAGTCAGCGGTGAAAAGTCAGCCGTGCACCCAGACAGCTGGGCTTCCGCCTCTGGGCTTGCTCGCTCTGCCCTTGAGCACTTTAGGTTCTTCCTGTCAGAGATGAGAGTTAAGATTAAGGGAGCAGCAGGCTGCGGTCTGGCCCCTTGGGGGACTTTTAAATCTAGTCCTGGAATTTAGAGTTTAGGTTAACGGGAAGTCATTTAAGATTTGCGGCTTAGAAAGATCGCTCTGGCTAGGTGAAAAATGCAGTGAAGGGGGTGACCCTGGAGGCCGATGGGGAATCTGCTAGGACAGTTCAGGTGAGAGATGAGGGGGGCCACAGCAGACTAAAAAATGATGCAATTGAACGTTTGTTGAGCACTTACTGTGTGCCAGGCTCTGTGCTTGGTGCTCTGCGTTTGCCTGTGTTTGGTGGATGAATGAAAAGGCAGCTCTTAAGGAAGCGGGTACTTTCTGAGTTCTCATCGCATTTTCCACTTGGGTGTCTTTGATTCAGGTAATGAGTGGGAGGAGGAGAGCCAAGCTGGAGTTTACCCAAACTGTCAGGCAAGAGTAGCCTGGGCTACTTGGAAATCGGAGGTATGTCTGTAATACTCAAGGATGAAATGAACCAGCAGGTCAGTTTGTGCTTCTCCAGGCTCAGCGTGAGTCAAGTCATCCCTTCAGGATAGATTTTTCTTTAAAGTTATACAAATGACAGAATCCTAGTGTAGGGGGAATTATTGATATTACCGTGGTTTTACCAGTGAAGACCCCACTGAGTCAATCACTGGGCAATGCTCACACCTTGTTTTATTAAGTATTACAGTCTTAACAATCCCAGAACATAGTGGCTGAAACAAAATAGATACTCAGTCCTTGCCTGGAAGTAAGGAATATTATTCTGGAAGTGAGCAGTCCACGGCCGGTAGAGCAGCTGAGTCTGTCTTTCGAAGTGACCCAGGAGCAGGGTACTGACTGCTGATCACGTGGCTCTCCTTGCTCAAACCTCAGGTTCCGTCTCATAGTCTAAGCTGGCTGCCTCAGCTCCTGCCATCGTGTGTGCATTCCACTTGGCAGAAAGGGAAAGACGGAGTGGGGAGCACATGCTCATTCCTTTTACGGTTCTAATGTTTAAAGTTACATAGTTTTGTACAGCGTGTCCCCAAACGTTAGCATCTGGTGCACAGACCAGGATGACTCATGACTACTCCAACACTGGAGGGAAAGCTGGCTGAGAGAACCTGCTGGGTCCCCTGTGTGAGTGGATCGCTAACTTTGGGGCTTGGGCCCGGCCTGAGGATGAGTCCACTGCGTTGGAGAAAGAGGGCTGGACGTGCTTCCCAGGCCTCCATCTCTCCGAGGCAGGCTGGTCTGGCTCGGGCAGGTTTATGTGGCTTGTGCCCGGGGAGTCCAGGCTCGGTTGCACATTCACCGTTTTCTGTGCTGGGCGTGGCAGACACTGCTGGGATTGTGGGCCCGAGTAAGAAACTCCCGGCCACGGGGATAATCACAGGACAGCGTGGGAAACACCACAGACGTCTGTTCAGAATTGTGGGGTGCACCGAAGGGTGACGGACAATGCTCTCCTGGGGTGGTGAAGATTTGGAACGAACGCTCTACCTGATAACTGTACAGGTCCCCTCAGAGGCGACGAGGACTCCGGCGTCGAGTGTGGATCCCTGCCTCACCACTTAGTGGTGCTGTGTCCTAAGATCCCGTTCCTTCATTGCTGTGCCTCAGTGTCCTCATCTGTGAAATGGGGACAACAGTCTCTCCCTCACAGAACTGTTTTGAGAATTATGTGAGATCAAGCATGTAATTCGCAAGGTCTGACGTGCAAATGTTAGTGGCCTCCTGCTGCAGGGTGCTGGGTGGTTCCAAGCCAGAGGTGCGTATGAGGATTGCAGTCGAAGAAGGCCTGAACCCGGGGGGTGGGGGGTGGGGAGCCAGGCTGCCGCTCCCACCTGGAGGCAGGGATTGTCCACATCATATGAGGACTGCTCTGTGCCCTCCCCGACCCCCTCGGGGGTTCCACCAAGCTTTCTAATTCAAGTTGTCTGTTTGTGGAGTCTCAGAGACCATACTCGGAAAAGTCTGGTGAGGGGTCCTTTGGGAGGGGAGGGCTCCCTTCCAAACTCAAAGGCTTCTAGGAAGCCTTCGCTGAGCCCTCCCCATCCCCCAGCACCGCAGAGTTTGGGGGCCCCTCCTCTGTGACTTTTTAGAACCTTCATGTTATAACCATAGGTTTCCTTGTCTGTCTCCCTGTAGACCCCCAGCGTCTTGCATGCGGGGACAGGGTGTGCTTTCTCCCGGCATTCCCACGGCGTAGCTCACTTCCTGGCACACGGCTGGTTCGCAGTGAGCGGTGGATGCCTGGGAGGTCGTCCTCGATCGACTGGAGAGGACCCGGCAGCCGGGGCCCGAGAGGAGAACCCCAGTGTGATGTGAGGCGGGCATGCCGCTGCTGGGGGAGGGAGGAGGGCCTGGCGGTTTACTTGGTGTCCGGCTGTGACGTGGGGTGTGGGCGTGGAGAACTGTGACCTACACTAGGAGAGTCGAGGTCAGAAGGTCGTTTCTCTGTCTTTCTGTCTTTTTCCAGTAGAGCGGGGTTTTTCAGCCTTGACACAGTTGACACTTGGGACTGGGCACGTTTGCGGGGGTGGGGGCTGTCCTGTGCACTTGGAGATGTTTAGTAGCACCGCTGGCCAGTAGCATGCATGGGTGCCAGCAGTACCCACCTAACTCCAGCCGTCACAGCTGAACATGTCCCCAGACAGATGCAGACATCTGGGGCAGAGTCACCGCCCTCTAGGAACGGCACTTTAGGTGCTGGTTAGAAGCGAGAACGAAGACATACCCTGGGCTTTTACTTTTCCTTATGCTTACCAGATGCGTGCCTGTGGGCGGAGCACCAGAACTCTTTAAGCCTCAGTGTCCTCCGTTGTAAAAGGGGGGTATGCGTGACCTCACGCATCGCCGTACAGGTGGAGTTATTGGTGAGGTCGTGCACGTGGCGTGCTTAGCCGAGTCCCCGACTCCGTAGTTGGTAACTCGAGCGTTATTACATGTTTGCGAGGAGAAGAGGACCCCGAAGAGGGTCAGGAAAGGAAGTGTGGGGGGTTGGGGAAGAAGGAAAGGTAGTTGATATGGGGACACGTGACCAGGTGGCCCGTCCTCTGCTGGAGTTTCCCGGAGGACGGTGCCTGCGTGGGTGGCACGGAGGCTCTCAGACGTGGGGGCTGGCGGGGGGGCACATTGCTGGGGGTGGACCCCAGAACAGGGAGGGAGCCCCAGCCTCAGAGGAAGCAGAAAAACTCCAACTGCATTATGTGCACTGAGCATATTGTCCCACGACCATGATCTACTACTTCTGCTGGCCACGACTTTAAAGTGGTTGAACAATGCAGGCCGAAGGGTCAGCCTTCCGGCACCGAGTGGCTGCAGCCTTGGCCACAGATACGTGGTGAGGGTCAGCGTAGGTGCCCGCCAGTCTCGAAGGACTTCCCCGGTGTCAGTAGCTCGACAGTCCAGGGGCCAGTCAAGGTTGACCTCAAACCACAGAGACATACAGACCCCCAGGGCTTGGGCTCTGGGATTCAAGCCTGCTTGTTAGGAAATTGGAGGGAGAGGAGCCTTGAGCTTCAAACGAAGGAGCACAGGGCCCGGCTGGAACTGAGAGTCGTGCGCTCCTGTCTGCAGAGCAGGGGTTCAGAGGGGGCAGCCCCGGCACAGTGGGGACCCGGTCAGAAAACAGGCCCAGTGGGTTCACTGTGACATCAAAGCCATGTTCAACTTCGGGGCTTTCAGACATTTGAAAGGTCTGGCAGCAGGACCCGTTCTGCCCACCCCACCCTCAGCACTTCCTATGCTGGAACGGTTTGCCCAAGCAGTCCGCTTCCTATCCTGAATGGACGGCCGCACTGCCCGGTGGGAAGCCGTGTCCCCCGCAGCCCGGGCGCCAGGTGGGTGAGCACCTCTCGTTCCCGTAGTCTTGGTAGTTTCGGGGCTGACGGGGCCCCTGTCGGGGACTTTCCGGGGTTACCCGGAGTGCAGTCAGCTGCCCAAGTTCACGCTTCAGAACATTGTTTAAAGTCAGAAAGAACATTGTTGAAATTTGTAAAAAAAAAAAAAAATTGTGAAACATTGAGTTGATACAAAATATACAGTATAAAGAGTAAGATTACAAGTAACAGGCATGGACCCCCCAGTCAGTTTACGGAAAGGAATGTTACTACTGCGGGGAAGAGCACCCCTCCCTGATCGTCCTCCCCCACCCCCCCAGGTAATCACTGAATTGTGCTTTCGTAATTCTCTCGCCTTCCTCTATAGTTGTACCACATGTTTGTATTGCTAAACAATGTATTGTTTAACTTGGCAGGGCTTTGAACTTGGGGTGATCCTGTTGTTTTCAGTGACTTCAAATTTTTGCCTGACACTTGCCCTTGAGATTAATCCGTGATGCACATAGCTGTATTTCAGTTTTTTCTTGTTTTAAAAGATTTTTTGTTCATTTATTTTTAGAGAGAGGAAGGGAGGGAGAAAGAGAGGGAGAGAAACATCCATCAGTTACCTCTTGCATGCCCCTAACTGGGGACCCGGCCCACAACCCAGGCCTGTGTCCTGACCGGGAATGGAACCTGGCGACCTTCCAGTTCACAGGCCGGCACTCGGTGCACTGAGCCACACCAGCCAGGGCTGTGTTTCATTGTCATGGATGAATTTATTGATTCTGTTGCGTATGGACATTTGGTTTGTTTCTAACATTTCGCGGAAACAGATGGTGCTGCTGTGAGTATTTGTGGGTGACACGTGTACAGCCCGTCCAGGGTGCGCCCCCAGGTGTGGGACTGAATTACAGGGTGTGTGCATTTTCATTTTGACCAAATAATACTAAATTGTTTCCAAAGTGTTTTCCCTAATTTACATTTCAACTAATACTTTTGTTTGCTTCACCCCCCTCCCAACAATAGTGTTGGCAGACTCTACAGGTAGGTTGCCACAGAAGCTATTCCAGTTACTGTATTTGGCTGTGTATAATGCGTGCTTTGTTGCCCAAATTTTGGGGGGGAAATAAGGGTGCGGATCATACATGGGTAGGTACCTGAAATACCTCATATCTCTTCTTGTGTTTGGTAATTATTTGTTACATAAAATTTATTGTACCATAGTATGTTTAAAAATAACCCATAAAATTCCATCATAATGCAAAACAACCCAAATATCTAAATATAAATAAATAAATAAATAAATAAATAACTGGATTAAAAAATTAAAAGGAAAGATCTTTTTTTCCCTGAAAGTTTGGGCCAAAACCGTGGGAGTGCATTATACACAGGGGTGCATTATACACAGCGGAATACGGTGCTTCCTTCACACCTGCTGCTGCTGGTGTTCGTGCCGCGGGCCACTGCCCTTTGGAAACAGCGAGCCCACGATTTCTCTTGCCGGGAACCTCCCGAGCGCCCAGCGTGGTGAGGCTTGCTAGCAAGGCTGGGTTTTCTCTGGCCATGGTCCCCATGAAGGGCTCCGGGGCTCCTGGCAGCTCGGGACAGGCCCCGTCAGAGTGGGCCATCATAGCATCTCACGTCCGAATGCTG